TCATAACCAGTGGGCAGTTGCTTCAGTCCACTGTGCTGGAGAGAAGCCCACCTGTTCCCTGAAGGAACAGCCTCAGCTCCACTCCCCTCCTGCTTCTGGGTCCTTTGAAGGCCTGAGTGTGTGTCTCAGTGACTGAGTCCTCTGTGCCTGTGAGCTCGCGCTCTCTCTCTCTCTCTCTCTCTCTCTCTCTCTCTCTCTCTCTCTCTCTCTCTCTCTCTCTCTCTCGCCTTGGGCTGGGCTCTTCCTGTGTCTGGCCTGCACTCTACCCATCTCCGTGTCTCTCCTTTCTTGCTTCTTGAATGTCTTTCACTCTGTGGTTTGGGTTGGTGTCCCCCTGGGCTTGACTTCCCTTGTCTCCCCCCATCAAGCCCTCTTCCCTCTTCATTGCCAGCCTGTTTACTTCTTTTTTTGTAGTGAGCTTTTCGGTAGAAAGTGTTTTATTAGACATGCTTTGGCTTAGAAAGAATCAGGCTTAGGGAGAAGTGCCTGTGGGTGACAGAGAACGTGTGTGTGTGTGTGTGTGTGTGTGTGTGTGTGTGGTGAGGTGAGGTGATGAAGAAAGCTGATAAATAGTTCAGGATTCAGAAAACCAGGAGTGCGGGACTGCATCTGGAGGCGAGCAGAGCCTTTGCCTCCTTCTTGGGGAATTCCATCTCTTTTGCCTTTTCTCATCTTTGGGATGCTTATCTCACTGGTTCCTCTTTGAACTGCTTGTCCCTAGTGGACAGGGTCCTTGAGAAGGGATGGGGGATGTGGCTGCCTGGCTAGGGGGTCAGCCTCCCTGGATGCTCAGGCCCAAGCCCAGGGGCTGGCTGGGGGTGGGGGGAAACCGGGGGCCTGCTCCTGGAGCCAGGGGAGGTGTGAACCAGGCTGCCTCCCTAGGCAGCAGGAGGTGCGAATAAGCAGCTGGCACTGAGGGAACCATGTTGGAGCCCCGAGCCCACCCACCTCCTGGACCTGTCCCACAGAGCCTCAGCCCCAGCAGAGAGCTCCAGGGCCCAGCCTCACCGTAGAGGTGGGCAGCCATCCGCCCAGCTGGGCTCGGCCCCGCTTTGTGCTGCCCTAGGCTCTAGTGCCCAAGCCTTGGGAAGGAGCCCCCTCTGTGGGCAGCCTCCACACCCCCACGGCTAACACCCCGGGAATAGCTCCCTCTTCCCCCAGGCTCTGTATTTCCTCTTTTCATTTCCTCGAAAGCCTGTGCTGCACACACATGTGCATACCTACCCACACACACTTCCACACACGTCCACATGTCCTTTTGCCAAGAGTTACACACACACGTGCACATGTACTCATGCTCACACATGCAGATGCACGCGACGCCCTGCTCATCATGGTATCCACTGCTAGCCCATTCCTTCCGGGCCCAGGATCAGCCTTTGTGCGCCTGGATGCTGGGAGGAGGCTCTGCGCCTATCTGGGTGCCCCTGGGGCTGTGGGGGAGGCACTCACTGCGGCAGGGCCCTCTTCATGCTTTCCCTGAGGGGCTGGAATTCAAACTGAGTCTGCAGCAGGGTTGGGGGTGGGGGGAATTGGGAAACCTGCTGGGGCCTCAGGCAGGTGAGTGCAACACTCTGCTCCAAAAATACTCTGTGATCTTAGCTCTTTCTCTAGAAAACAGTGATGTCACCGGTAGCCAATCAGCTTCTGGAAGGTCTTGCCTCCTCCTTCTGCAACTTGCAGGGGAGAAGCTGGAGAGGGGGAGGGGGAGGGAGAGAAGGAGAGACGTACAGACAACATACAGAGAGAGGGAGGAAGCACGGAAGCACTCCAGCACACAGGGGCAGAGTCCACGCAGGAAAGAAAACGGAGCACTCCTTCCCCTCGCCCAGCCGAGCAGAAATCCACGCAGCCCCAACACACACACTGTCTCTCTCTCTCTCTCCCTCTGCCAGAGACATAGAAACAAGGAGACAAGAAAGTAGACAGAATCACCGCATGGAGGGCAGAGACAGAGACGTGAGGAGAGACAAAGATGAAATGAGGAAACAGGCAGGAGCACACAGGGGTCAGGGATGCGTTAAGAATCAGACCCAGAGCAGCCGGCAGACAGACAGACAGACAGACAGACGGGCGGTACAGCTCTCTGGGCACCTCTGTGCGCGGTGGGAGGGCCCTGGCTCTGGTTCCAGCCTCAGCAGCCGCTGTCCATGGTGCTGCCCCAGGGCCCGGGTGGGGAAGCGGTGGAGAAGGGGGAAGCCCTGCTCTCCTCCGGGGTGCTGGGCAGTGGGAGGGAAGGCGGGAGGAAGGGGCTCCCTAGGCTGTCCTTTTGGTTGGGAAGTAAGCTGGACAAGGTGACTTTGTGGGCAAGGAGCCCTGGTGAGGGGTGTCAGGCTGAAGGCGGGGGCTGCACCCCTCGTTTAGGGGTCCAGGAGCATGCTGTTGAGTGTGAAGCAGCGTCTGTGTTAACCTCCAGCTTGGGGAGGCCTTATCCCCTGGTCCCCCTCCTGTGCCAGGAAGATGGGTGTACCCTGTCCAGCTGTGTGCCTGTCCTCCGCCTACACAGTGGTGGTTTCCCCTCAGGGGTCCCAAGGCCCCCTTCTCTGTCCCCAGCATCCCGCTCTCCTAATGGCGATACCTGAGGCTTTGCAGCCTGATGGGCTTGGGGTTCAGAAGCTGGAGGGCTGGAGGCCCCCCACCGCTGCAGGTCCGGCAGTGAGTGGGAGGAGGGGCTTGGCCGAGTTTTCTCTCTAGTGTTGCCCTAGCAGCCTCTGCTCAGCTTGGGAGGGATTCCCTGCTCCTGTGTGGAGCACTCGAGCTTGTGCTGCCAACATCAGACTGTGGGGGTGGGGCGCGGAGGAGGGAAGGAGGCAGGGAGCGCCTACCAGTCTCTGGTGGGAAACCTCCCGGCGCAGGAAGATAGACATGAGTCTACCCTCGGCCACAGCAGCCCTGGCTGCAGGTCTCCTGAGCCCCTCCGTCTTCTCAGTGTCCAGACCCCTTAGAGTTCTTGGGGGTTGTCACGGGGAGGGCATGGTATGGCTCCACTCGCTGGGGTTGGGTAGGGAAGGGCTGGCCTGCAGGACTGGAGGGAACTGCCTCGCTCTGCTCTTCTCCCCCCTCCTCCTCCCCTGTGGGTCATGGTTGGGGGCTGGGAGAGAGGTGGAGGGCGCACTGGGGCCCCTCTGGGGAGTGAGGAAGCTCCTGTTTAGGAGGAGGGCTGGGGCATACCTGGCTTTGGGGAGGAGGCAAAGGTCCCTGAATGTGGGCAGGGGGCTGCCTCTGGGGTTGCCAGGGCTGGATCTCCTGTCACCTCCTTTTCTAATCCCCAACTTCGCTGTCCCATTAGCTGCCCACGGCCTGCGAGAAGAGCCCGAGTTTGTGACAGCAAGAGCCGGTGAGAGCGTGGTTCTGCGATGCGACGTGATCCACCCGGTGACAGGACAGCCCCCGCCCTATGTTGTAGAGTGGTTCAAGTTCGGGGTGCCCATCCCTATCTTCATCAAGTTTGGCTACTACCCGCCCCATGTGGACCCTGAATATGCAGGTATGGTCTGGGCCACTTGGCCTCCTTTCCTTGGCTTTGGCAGGGCTGCCCCTCTCCTTCAGGGTCCCAGTTCCCCTGGTCAAGCTTCCAGGAGCTCCCTTTACCTGTTGCCTCCTCTCTTTTCTGACTGGTCTGTTAGCTCTGTTTTCCAGTCCCTGCCTCTTTCTTCCCATCCTTTGGACTTTGGTGGGAGGAGAGGAAGAGGCGGTAAGGCAGACAGGAAGCCCTCCTGAACCACAGAGCCCATGGTTTGCAGGGGCAGAAGCAGGAGGGGGCCACCTAGAAGGCCGCCATGCAGGAGGGCCAGGCCGGCGGAGGGCAGCCCTGCGCCCAAGGGGCTGAGTCAGAGCTGCTGTGGCTGGTCGTGTGCAGCGGCAGCTGTGGTGTTCCCGCTGCNGCCCTAGCAGCCTCTGCTCAGCTTGGGAGGGATTCCCTGCTCCTGTGTGGAGCACTCGAGCTTGTGCTGCCAACATCAGACTGTGGGGGTGGGGCGCGGAGGAGGGAAGGAGGCAGGGAGCGCCTACCAGTCTCTGGTGGGAAACCTCCTGGCGCAGGAAGATAGACATGAGTCTACCCTCGGCCACAGCAGCCCTGGCTGCAGGTCTCCTGAGCCCCTCCGTCTTCTCAGTGTCCAGACCCCTTAGAGTTCTTGGGGGTTGTCACGGGGAGGGCATGGTATGGCTCCACTCGCTGGGGTTGGGTAGGGAAGGGCTGGCCTGCAGGACTGGAGGGAACTGCCTCGCTCTGCTCTTCTCCCCCCTCCTCCTCCCCTGTGGGTCATGGTTGGGGGCTGGGAGAGAGGTGGAGGGCGCACTGGGGCCCCTCTGGGGAGTGAGGAAGCTCCTGTTTAGGAGGAGGGCTGGGGCATACCTGGCTTTGGGGAGGAGGCAAAGGTCCCTGAATGTGGGCAGGGGGCTGCCTCTGGGGTTGCCAGGGCTGGATCTCCTGTCACCTCCTTTTCTAATCCCCAACTTCGCTGTCCCATTAGCTGCCCACGGCCTGCGAGAAGAGCCCGAGTTTGTGACAGCAAGAGCCGGTGAGAGCGTGGTTCTGCGATGCGACGTGATCCACCCGGTGACAGGACAGCCCCCGCCCTATGTTGTAGAGTGGTTCAAGTTCGGGGTGCCCATCCCTATCTTCATCAAGTTTGGCTACTACCCGCCCCATGTGGACCCTGAATATGCAGGTATGGTCTGGGCCACTTGGCCTCCTTTCCTTGGCTTTGGCAGGGCTGCCCCTCTCCTTCAGGGTCCCAGTTCCCCTGGTCAAGCTTCCAGGAGCTCCCTTTACCTGTTGCCTCCTCTCTTTTCTGACTGGTCTGTTAGCTCTGTTTTCCAGTCCCTGCCTCTTTCTTCCCATCCTTTGGACTTTGGTGGGAGGAGAGGAAGAGGCGGTAAGGCAGACAGGAAGCCCTCCTGAACCACAGAGCCCATGGTTTGCAGGGGCAGAAGCAGGAGGGGGCCACCTAGAAGGCCGCCATGCAGGAGGGCCAGGCCGGCGGAGGGCAGCCCTGCGCCCAAGGGGCTGAGTCAGAGCTGCTGTGGCTGGTCGTGTGCAGCGGCAGCTGTGGTGTTCCCGCTGCCCCTCTGTACCCACACCTCCCTCTGTACCCACACCTCCCTCTGTACCCACACCTCCCTCTGTACCCACACCTCCCTCTGGCTCTGAAGTTGGGCCTCATTTCCTCCTGAGTGTGAGAATGTCTCGCCAGTGGGCCGCCTGCTCTCGGCCTCCTCTGCCACAGTCGCTCCTGCCAGCAGGGGCTCCACTGAGTCACTTCCAGCACCAGCCGACCTGCCGCGGGAGGGGGAGGGGGGACAGGGCAGGGCACGTGCAAGTGTGAGCATGTGAGTGCATGTGTGAGCATGCATGTATGTGTGTGCATGTGAGTGTGTGAATGCCTGTATGTGAGCATGTGTGAACATGTGAGTGCACGCGTGCATGAGTGTGTATGTACATATGTGCGTTGTGTGAGTATGTACTTGTGTGAGCATATGCATGTGTGTGAGTGTGCATGTGTGAACATGTGAATGTGAGTGCATGAGCATGTGAGTGCGTGTGAGAGTGTGAGCATGTGAGTGTGAGCGTGTGTATGAGTGAGAGCATGTGAGTGTATGAGCATGTGTGTGCACACATGTGTATGTACATGTGTGCATATGTGAGCATGACTATGTACTTGTGTGAGCATGTGCATGTATGAGTGTGCATGTGTGAGCAAGCATGTGTATGTGAGTGTATGTGAGCATGTGTATATGTAAGCGTATGTACTTATGTGAGCGTGTGAGCGTGTGAGTGTGCATGTGCGAGTGTGTGAGCATGTGAGCGTGTGAGTGCATGTGTGTGCGTGTGTGAGCATGTGAGTGTGTGAGCGTGTGAGTGCATGCGTGTGCGTATGTGAGCATGTGAGTGTGTGAGCGTGTGAGTGCATGTGTGTGCATGTGTGAGCATGTGAGTGTTGTGTGTGAGCCTGTGTATGCCTGTGTGTTGGGGCTTAAAGGAAGAGAGGAAGCTGCGGGACACTGCTTTTGTCTTCTGGCTCCTAAGGTCTGCGCTGCATTTCTCTGAGAACACTTCCGCTTCTCTCCCTCCCTCCTGCGCCTGGGTCTCCTTTCCTCCTTTGCCTGGTTGGTCTTGATAATCTGGTTCTAGGCAGATTGCCAGGGCAGAGACAAGGAGAAGGCAGAGGAGGTTGTGACCTTGTGGTGAAGGGTGGGCTGAGGTGGTGGGTGAGGGGAGGAGAACCCTGAGGGTGCCTGGGCCCCCTCCCTTGTCATAGAGAAAGGGGGCGCTGCTCCGCACTCTGCTGGGCTCCTGCTGCACGTCTTACCTGCAGGCCATGAGATAAAGATGACCTCCTAAGGGGGAGAGAACAGAGTTGAGGAGGCCGCTGGCGTCTTTGCTCTGCTGGCCAGCCCTTTCCTCATCCTCCGGCCTAGAGGCCTGGAGCCTCAGCTCCTGGGGCCGCAGGGCTCTGGCTGGGCAAGCAGCGTCTCTGGCTCTGGGGTCAGGCTGGGAGGGGATCCTAGCACCCTGGTCCCCAGCCTGCCTTCCCTCTGCCAGACAGAGGGGGTGTGGGGGTGAGACCCAGTTGGGAGAGGAGTGTCACTCCACCTGAATGGAAGTGTTCTGGGGCCTGGCCTAGATCCCCAACTTCTCTCCCTCCCTTTCTCCCTTCCTCCCTCCCTTTCTCCCCCTCTCTCTCCCTCCCTCTATCCCTTCAGCTCTCTATCCCTGATGCCTTCCCTTTGTCCCAAGAGATCTCCCAAAGAAGGGGAGTATTCTAAGGAACTGAGGCTCTTCTCAGTACCACAGAGTTGCAGTTGCAGCTGGGATGGGCCAGCTGAGGCTGGAGGGCTGGGGAGGATCGTGGCTCCTTGGCCAAGGCTTTATGCCTTTTCCTCTGGCACTTGCGGCCAGAGGTTGGTGCCAGCTGTCATTTTGGGGCCCTGCCATGGGAAATGATCTGCAGGCGACGATGGGCCCTGTGCCTTCAGCTGGGGTGGGGGTGTCGAGTTGCTGGCCTCACCACTGGGGCTCTTGGTCCACCTGTCCCCAGGACGAGCGAGTCTCCATGACAAAGCTTCGCTGCGGCTGGAGCAGGTCCGCTCGGAAGACCAAGGCTGGTACGAGTGCAAAGTGCTCATGCTGGACCAGCAGTATGACACCTTCCACAATGGCAGCTGGGTGCACCTCACCATCAACGGTGAGTACGGCCCTTCCGGGGGGGCACGGCCCAGGAGCCTACTCTCTGAGGGCCCGGTGTAGGGGAAGCCTCTTTTCAGGCGGCACCCCATCCCTGCTCCAAGTCCCTGCTGCAGTGAGGAGCCTGGGCACACTGGGCTCCACCTCCTGTGCCCCCTCAGCTGTCTCCTGGGGCCCCCCCAGGACAGTGTGGTGCCTCAGTGGAGCAGCTCCCTGAGCGAGGCAAGGGTTTGCTGTGGGTGATGGCATCACAGCTCCTTATTGGGAGGAAGAAATCTGGTTCATTTAAAAAAAAAAGTTTTTATTGATTTCAGAGAGAGGAAGAGAGAGGGAGAGAGAGATAGAAACATCAATGATGAGAGAGGCTGCCTCCCGCATGCCCCCTACTGGGGATTGAGCCCCAAACCGGGGCATGGGCCCTGACTGGGAATCAAACAATGACCTCCTGGTTCATAGGCCGATGCTGAACCACTGAGTCATGCTGGCCAGTCAGGAATCTGGTTCTTGAAGCCAGGAGGGCTAAGGCTTTGTGGAGGCCAAAGCCATAACTGCCGGCACCATTTCCCAGGCTTGGAAAGACCCTGCTAGCCCAGGAAATGCCTCTCTCTCTCGAGTGTAATTCCCAGAGTCCCACCGTTGCAGTCTTCCTGTTCAGGGTGACGTTTTGGATCCTTGTTAAATTTATTCATTTGCGTAGTATGTACTGAGGGTCTACTGTGCGCCAAGCTTTGCACCAGATGGTGAAAAGACAATGCTGAGCCAGCCCAGGCTCAGTGCCTGCCTGCCTGGACCTGGTTTACTGTCTAATGAAAGGGAACAGGAAAGAATCCTAGGAAGAGTAGCAGTCTTAATGGCTGTCAGTTATTTATGGCTCAGGTTAAATGAACTGTGCTGTGTGGGATGCTTTTCAAGGAAGCCCCATGTGGAGCCCCGGGGAGCATGCTGGTTCTGGTGTTGGCCCAGGCTGGGAGCCTGGTCTGCAGGGTAATGGCACCGGGGCTGGGCCCCCGGGTGTCCCCTGATGGAGAGCCCCCTGTGTTACTGGGCATCCTTACTTGGGAAGAGGTCCTCTGGAGGAGCCAGGAGAAGCTGGAACTGGGGAGAAAATTTGAAGAAAAGTGAACCCCCTTGTGCAGGGGGAGCAGGGTTTGTTTTGTTTTTCTGGCTAGATCCGTGTTCTTCTTTATTCAGTGATTGACAAAACATATTTAGCCACCACTGTGTTGCAGACACTGTGCTAGTTACCGGGCTTTAGCAGCGTATATGCTTTGGATGAGCACACAGCGTGGGTCCTTATGGCTTTGATGTCTGTGACTAGAGATGCTGTGGTTGGGAGAGAGAAATTGATGTTCCTGGCTCCTGGCTCGGAAGCTTCTCAGCATTGATCTGTCCTGAGGGCCGGCTCTGTCTGCCCCACCTTGTGGGGCTGGGTCATCCTCCCAGGGCTCAGGTTAGGCCATGTGTCCTGGCTTGAAAACCCACTCAGTGTTCTGGAAGCACAGGGTATTTCAGCCAGAGCGCTGACCTCTGGGAAAAGCTGACCTCTGGTCCAGGCTGCTGGACCCATTAGATGCAGTCGGCTCTCTTCAGCCAGCCCCAAGAGACCGATTGGAGGCTGATTTTAAATCTTGGGTGGGCTGTCCCCACCACCCGGCAAGCTTTTGAGTCACCTCCTTTTGATGCAAGCTGTTGTGTGTGCTGGGAATGAAAACTCATCTTAATATTAGCCCAAGCAAAACATAATTAGGGAGGTAAACCCGCTGCTAAAAGCTTCACTGAACACTGAGCCAGAAGTCCCCACGCTGCTCCCTCTCCTGTGACCTTTCCTGCACCGGCTGAGCTCCGAAGCGCCTCCTCTCCTTCCCGTCCTCTGCTGGTGTTCATTTCAGCAACTTGAGACACCAGGCGTCAGTAGACACTCGCAGGGCAGGAAGTAGGATGTGTGTTCTGTTACGTCTCTGTCTTCCTTTGCACGAGTGGGAGTTGATTCTTTGGGGATTCCTAATTGCTTGGAGTGGAATTGGCATGCAAAAGGCCCTGCAAAGATTTAGTTTATTTCATGAATCCATTGTACATTAGCTGTATGATCCTGGGCAACTTAAGTCACCTCTCTGAGCTTGTTTTCTCAGTTACCAGAGACAATACCTATTTGCAAAGCTGTTGTGAGGATAAGTGAAGCCCTGGGTAAGAAACTGTCTTGCCCAGTGTCTGAAATGTTAATTACATGTGGGTAGTTATGTGTGAGATGCTGTCCCTCCTTCTTTTCAAGAGTAAAAAACAGGTGAAATCAGATGAAAATGTATCCGCAGGGATATGGTGGCACAGGAAACACTTCAGGCTGGAAGATGCAGAGGATGGTCACAGTTTGAAAGTGCTTGCGGTGCATCCACCAGTAATTATCCACTCAAAACGCATTCTTGACTGTCCACTCTGTGGCAGGCTCTGCGGCTACAGCGGTGGGCAGTCGAGTCCAGGGACAGTTGCAGTATGGGCTTTGGGAGCCCAGGGGAGGGAGAATGTCTCAGAGGAAACGACCCTGTGCAGAGACCTGATCAGGGACCAGGAGTTAGCCAGGTGCAGGGTTGGAGGTGGGGAAGAGTATTCCAGGCAGAGGGGAACAGCATGCTTGGAAGCCCAGAGGAAGGAGATCTGGCGCATTCAGGGAACGCAGGCAGGTTGTTTACGTGGAAGTGTTAGGTGGAGAAGCTAAGAATGTGCATCCGCTCCAGGCTTTAGAATCAGGCTCCTCNAGGCAGGTTGTTTACGTGGAAGTGTTAGGTGGAGAAGCTAAGAATGTGCACCATCCGCTCCAGGCTTTAGAATCAGGCTCCTTGCAGACCACTTGCCTTTACTAAGGTGCCTGGCTCCAGAATAGGTAGAACAGCATAGACCCTCCCACGGTGAAAGTGAGACCTCTCTCCTTTACTCTCCCTTCCATCATCCTGAGTCCTGAGGTTTCTTCCAGCATAAACACTGTCGTGGCTGAAGGAGTCTGGAGCCCCAGCATCCCATTGCTTCCAAACCAGAATGTTTAATGTCAGGCATTTTCTGACAGGGATCACCTTTGGAAAATGAAAGGCCAGTGAAAAATTAGAATTACAGATCATCTCCTTCTCCTTCTGCGTTTTCTTGAAGATCAGTTGTGTGGAAACAAGCCAAAGTATTTCTTTATCACATATAAAATACCTGAAAAGCCCCAGCCAAGCCTCGCCTTAGGTCGGTGAATTACTGGGAGGCGCGGCCAGCCTATTTCGAACCTGCACTATTAATTATAGGGCACTTGTAAAAAAGAATTAAGCCGGGAAATGCAGCTGGCAAGCTAACACCTAATTCAGTAAACAATCCAGAGTCAAACCCTTATTTTCCTGAAAACTTGAAATTGTTCAAAGTACTTTCCTGATTAGCACCTAAATAATAAAGTAATTATGTAATTAGTAATTAATTTGTCACTTCAGGACATAATTTAATTTATTATCTTTTCTTTTAAGCTTGATGCCGGAGGCAGTAGAGGCTGTGGCTGTATTAACTGTGTTTCAGGGGGCAGGCTTGGCGGGCGGGGAGGGGGAGCTCTGTTGGAGATGAGTGCACATTTTAGGGTAGGAGGAGAGGCCTGGAAGTGAGGAGTGCAGGGCCTCTTTGTAAGGATTTGGATGATTTTTTTTTTTTATACGTTTTTATTGATTTCAGAGAGAGGAAGGGAGAGGGAGAGAGAGAGAAACATCAGTGATGAGAGTCACTGATCGGCTGCCTCCTGCACGCCCCCTGCTGGGGATCAAGCCCGCAACCCAGGCATGTGCCCTGACCTGGAATTGAACTATGACCTCCTGATTCATAGGTCGACGCTCAACCACTGAGCCACGCTGGCCGGGCAGGATTTGGATGATTTGTATCATTATTTTTGTTGTATTAGACATTGGATGAGAATTGACAATCTTGAGGATGTCTGTTGTGTGTGATGGAGTGTGCTTCTTAATTCATTCAGTATTTATTTTCCCAGTGTCCCCATGTGACCACACTGAGCTAAGGGCTTGGAAGATTACGGAAGAAGGTGGTCTTGGCATGTTCATGCTCTTAAGGAGTTTAATGCGTTTGCGTTTGTGTTGGTCTGTACGTGTGTGCATGTGTACGCACATTCATTCATTCATTCATTCATCCATCCATTCAACAGATATTTGTTGAATGCTGTATTATATTACATGCCAGGCACTGTGCTAAGAGCTGGGCATACAGTGGGATTTGTGGAAAAGATCTCTGCTCTTCAGGAGCGTTAGTGATAAGTGCTTTAAAGAGAATAAAACAGCCTAAGGGGATAGGGAATGCTAGAAGTGCCTTCTCAGATCTGCTGACCAGGTCAGGCAGAGATGGCATCTCAGCAAAGACTTGTATGAGCTGAAGGAGGGAGGTCTTTGATAGAGCTCCAAGCAGAGAGGATAGCAGATGCAAAGGCCCTGTGGTTGGATGTTCTTGGCACATTCAAGGAAGACAAAGAAGGCAGTGTGGTTAGAGCACAGCGAAGGGGAAACTATGATAGATGAGGTTGACAGGGGTGGGGAGCACCAATGCTAAAATGTTCTGACTAGTTCCCAGGGCAGGGCTGTCTGGAGAGGAGAGACCCCCTTGAAATCTTCTCATTAATGCTTCAGATGCTCCTGGGGAGATGATAATGACTGTGTATGTTTACATTTTACAAGATTCTTTTACACACTTATTTCTCATTTATTTCTCATATCAATTCTGGAGGGTGGAGGAGTTCAGGTAAAGCCCAGAGAGGCTTAGTAACTTGCCCAGGGTTACACAACCAGTGGCAGGCTGGCACGTGAACTGGGTCCTGAGCTTTGGAAGCCTTGAGATGAGCTTAAAATGGCATTGTGGACCCCCAGGGCCAGTGTTTAGAAGTGGGGGCCCCTCCCTGTCATTTCAGAAGAACCAATAGTCCAAGGCGTCCAGATGGACAGATCGCCTCCTCACGCAGCTCAGAGAAATGAGACCAAGTTCCTTAAAAGCTGATTATCCAACAGGATGGAATTTTAGTTAAAACTCTAACACAGGTGGTGGTGTAGGGGGACAAGCTTGCATAGTTAGAGGAGAATTCAGAAGGGAGCAGCCTGGCGTTCACGGATAAAGGCAGGTAGCCTAGATGGAGGCACATGGCAGATGCTCGGATGTGAGGGCCTGGCGGGCGGGGGTTAAGGAAGCAGGGGTGTCGTGGATGGTCGTGACGTGGAAGACAGAGGATGATGGGACAGTCTGGAGCTGGCGGCAGAGGCAGGCTCTGTGGAAGCCAGGGGAGAGCTGTCTTGTCTGTCACCTGCTGTAGTGCTGAGCTCAGTGATTCCCTGCAGATGCTCAACAAACACGCGTCTATTGGGAATTTGCCAAGTACAATGGGACAAGTTTAGAATTTGGACACAGCCAGACTGACTTTGAATTCCAGGTCCCCTCTCCCTGTGTAGGATTCATGCGCAGAGTATTTTACCTGTCTCCCCCTTCCTGCCTTCATCCTTACACCTTGAAGAGGGTCAGGCATGAGCCTAGAGGCTCACAAGGATCGCATGGTGTGGTGCGTGGTGCGTGGTGCCTGGTGCGGGTGGCGTGGCGAGGAGGCACCAGCCCGCTAAGCCCACCCTGAGCCTCAGTGGTCTCTTTGCAGCTCCTCCCACCTTCACAGAAACACCTCCCCAGTACATTGAGGCCAAGGAGGGTGGCAGTGTTACCATGACCTGCACAGCTTTTGGGAACCCGAAGCCGATTGTCACCTGGCTCAAGGAGGGGACACTCCTTGGTGCTAGTGGGAAATACAAGGTAAATGTGGCTCTTCATTGGGGCCACTGTACTCCCTTCTCCCTTCCTTTGCCCCTTTCTTCCTCTCCAAGGCTGTCTCCCACTTTACCTGACCAGTGACACTGCAAAGGCACAGAGGGGAGATGGAAACAGCAGGCAGACCGGCTGGTGTCTGTGTTGTTGGAGGGAGATGAAAAATGAGGCACCTGCCTCTGTATCCCTCAGGTGCATGACCCCGAGGCCACCTCCACCTAGGATGGTGCTGGTGGGGCCCACGAGTGGGTGCTGAGCTCCATCTCTCCTTGGTCCAGGTGAGTGATGGGAGCCTGACGGTGACATCGGTCAGTCGGGAGGACAGAGGTGCCTACACCTGTCGTGCATACAGCATCCAGGGAGAGGCAGTCCATACCACCCACCTGCTCGTCCAAGGTAATAGTGATGGCTCCAGCTTCTTTGTGCCTCGGGCCTTTTTCAGGGACTCCCAGGCCAGCAGAGCTGTGGAGGGTTTTCCCAGAGCTTGGCCGGTACAGCTGGGGGCAGGTGGAAGTGGGCAGCCCTTGAAGAGCTGGGCAGGGCTCCTCCCAGACACCATGCACTTCATGTTGGAGCTCCCGCTGTGGCCTCTGTGGCTATCACATGGGCACGAGGCCCCCTGCTGGGTGGGTTTCTGGTTTCTGTATCTCCCAGGAAGCGTTTAAATAACACTGAGGTCATTTGGGCATTTGGTAGAGCTGGGGTCTGCACTCTCAGACCTGGAGATGCCAATCTGCCCAGCCTGGGGCCCCAGAGTGCTCAGAAGGGGTGGCATCTGGGCGGCAAGATCTCTTCTCTGTCTGAGCCATCCCCCTGCTCTGCCTCCCACCCGCTGCGGGAGGAGCTGATGAGGGTTGGTGGTAGCTGTTGGGGCACATGCTCTTCCTGCCTGTCTTCTGACTGGGTGTGCTGAGCGGCATCTGGACTAGAGGTCCCTCTCTGGTTTGGAGGAGAGCTGGCCTCTCAGGAGAGAGCCAGCCAGGGGGCAGCTGCAGCCTGTCTGGGAAGCTGGCACCGGGGACTGCTGGAGTTCCACCCTCTGTTCTCTGCTCCCCCTGCCTCCTCTGCCCGAGCTGCCCTGGATGGAATGAGTGGCCGTTCACCTCCTAGAGGCCTCCTGCCCAAAGCTCTGCTGGAGAGAAGACGGGCAGGAAGGACTGGGGGTGTGTGTAGGGCTGTGTGTGTGGTGTTAGATGGCTAGTTTGGGGGGCCAGCATTTTAGAGGGGTTCTACATGGAGACAGGGGGCAGGTATGTGCCAAGGTGTCTACACCTGGCTCAAAGGGGTGGGGCACGCTGGGGCCCTGTCCAGCACCACCTGCATCTCTGGGACCTGCAGGGAGAGTAAGAACCTGAGCATTTACAGCAGCTAGAAGCGTTTCCATGACAACTGCCTGGGGTTGTGCCGCTAACTCTTGGGCCAGTGCTGCCCCAGCCCTCCCTCTCAGGGTTCAGAGCACCTTTCCTGAGGCATCTCAGAGCTGCCCAGAGGCCCTGGTGCTCTTGTCCCCCCCTTGCCCTGCCAGGTGAGGTCATGTTTGTTTCCTGTGTCCCCAGGGCCTCCCTTCATAGTGTCCCCTCCTGAGAACATCACTGTCAACATATCCCAGGATGCTCTGCTTACCTGCCGGGCGGAGGCGTATCCCGGCAACCTCACTTACACCTGGTACTGGCAGGATGAGAATGTCTACTTTCAGAAGTGAGCACCCTGCCCCGACCTCCTGGGGGAGGAGCAGCAGGTGCCCAGGGGCCAGTGCTCCGAGCAGGAGCCGCTGCAGGCTGCCCTGGGCTCTGGGAACTTGGAGAGGGGTGGTCAGTCCACTTGTCCCACCCATGAGGGCCAGCATCTGCACAGAGGGGCCGTGAGAGGGGCCTAGGAGCTCGAGGGCACGCCGGGCCTCTTCTCATGCATGGGGGTGAGGGGACTCATCGCTGCCTTGCTCTGATGTTCCTTGGAAGACCCTCTTCTCTCACCTGCCAATGCCCTCCCCTTCTTGTCTCCTTGTTTCCTCAACAGTGACCTGAAGCTGAGAGTGAGGATCCTGATCGATGGGACCCTGATCATATTCCGGGTGAAGCCTGAGGATGCAGGGAAGTACACCTGCGTCCCTAGCAACAGCCTGGGTCGCTCCCCCTCGGCCTCGGCCTACCTGACTGTGCAGTGTGAGTAGGGGCAAGAGACAGCCTCAGTTGGTGGGGGTTCCGGGAGGTTCAGACCATGTTGGCCAGACTGAAGGCTGCAGGTCAGCCTCATTTCAGGGAAGATGGGTGGAGGAACGACTGACACAGGAAGGAAGGACAGCCCAAGAAGCAGCCCACACCCGGGCTGGTCAGTTGAGGGGAAACCTGCCCTCGTGTCTTCCATGGGCCATCAGCTGGGTTCAGGCTGGGTTCTGGGATCCACAGGCCTTCTGAACACCTGCGCTTGCCGAGTGCTGGCCCACGCCTTTGTCTCTGCCTCAGATGAGATGCTCTCTGGGGCTTTTTCCTCAGGTATCTGAGGAAGTGTAGCTTGAACCTGTGCGGGTTAGGTTTCCAGCCAGCTCTCCGCCTTCCCCCATCCTGGACAGTGTGAGGCGCAAGGGGGACGGGACCCTCCTCTGGGTGACTGGGTCCAGCTCCACCAGCGCCTGACTGGCTCTTGGCTTCCTCGGGCCCCTCCCCTGGGGCTGCCAGATTTCCAAATGCATGAGCTGCTCCTCACGCTGGAACAATGCGGGGCTTTTGTGCGAGCAAAAGCTTCCCCACCCCCTGGCGAGCTGATCTTTGTGAGAAAGAAAGAGAAAGATGAGTTATGAGGATTGATTTCTTCCTTTTGATTTGCTGACGGCCCTGTCACTCAGGCAACAAAGGCCCCACGCTGTCGCTGTAGGTGACAGGCTCTCGATCACTTGAAGGCTGGTGTAGGAGAATTGTTTACCTCCAAAGGCGTGGAGTGGCGGAGTGGGAAGGGTGACGGTCTGGAGATCCGGAGTCAGCACTTGAACTGGGGACAAGTAGGACAGTTGGTGACCCCAGGAGGCGGCTCACCTGTGACCCAGCTTCACGGAGCTGGGTCTGTGCCTGAGCGGGTGTGGAGGTGCAGCCCCCGGACCTCCTGATCTCCCGTTCTTACTGTTTTCTTCTCTGCGCATTGATGTTGCTGCTTGGGGCAGAGGCACCATCTCTCCGCTTCTGCTGCCAGCAGATTGCAGGGACTTGCAGCATGTGCTATATGATGAGTCCCACGTTGTTAAGAGCTGTGAGGCCCAAGGCAAGCTTGTGACCCAGGGCATCCAGTCTGTCCCCCCAGACCTGCAGTAGGAAGAGCAAGTCAAGAAGCTACTTATAAGTGACTTTCCACGAGCCCCAAGCTGTGCTGGACATGAAGGACCGAGGGAAGGGAAGACACCTCTCGGAGCAGCACCCGGCTGGCTTGCGTCACTGTGCAGGAAGGTGGCAGTGGCGAAGGGAAAGAGCCGCCAGGGGGAGTCTCAGAAGGTTGACGGGTCTCACCAGGATGAGGCCCTGTCCTCGGCGCCATGGGCTGTTTTTCTGCTGAGAGGCGGGTGTGCTTCCCGCTCTCCAGCGCCATCCCCCGCTCCCACGTGTCCTTTTTTACCTCCTTCCTGTCTTCAGAGAGAATCCGGGGGGTGAAGTTTTCAGGTGGGTGAGACAAGGATCTTTATTTCTGCTAAAAAGCAGTGTTCAGAGTATTTCCCATTCATAAACCCTTTGAAAACCTTAGAGGGAAAAAAAAACCCTCTACCATACAAAAGTAGGAAGCTATGTCTAAATATATAACTCGGCCTGGTATTTATGTAATGCTGTTCTCTGAAGAGCTCCAAATGCTTAAAAGATACCAGCTCATTCATCCTCACTGCCGCCCTGGAAGTTCTGGATCGTTTGCCTTGGTAGCCCTCAGGGAAATTGAGGAGAATCGAAAGGTGATGACTCACCCTATGACAGGATGTGCGGTGCTTGCTGCTGTCCCAGGAGCCCGTCATCTGTTCTGTGGCCAAGGCTGAGTCTGCATTTCAGCTGCACAGATGGGAAACTGAGGCCTGGGAGGCTGGGCAGTGAGCAGATGGACAGGAGAAGAGCCACCTGTGGTTAGGCCTCTGCCTACCTCATGCGTAGGACTGCGGTTCCTCTTTTGGCTTAGGATGTGGAGAGGGGAGCCAGCTTGGTGGCTTGGTGGTAATGACTTGGGGTAAGGGGCAGGTGGGGAGGGTGTGGTCAAATGTGGACTTTGAGGTTGGAAGTCTAGGGAGGGGCTGGGAAATGGACCTGAGAGCCCTGCCCGGTGTAGTTCATGAGTGGAAGCGTTTGAGAAGCGCTGCAGACGCGGCCCGGGTGCCCAGGTGCCTCGGAGCATTCGGATCAGAAGTGCTTGAGGACACTGTGGCTGGGTAGACGAAAGGAGTCTGTAGCCTGCCCGGGGTTCAGTGTGGCCTCGGGCTGTAGGCCAGGAGGGCCAGGGTTTGTTGTCTCATTACCCATGGTGAACCCAGCACGTAGCTCTGGGTTGGGCAGTGAGGACTCGAAGCGTTTACTCAGCGGGTGCAGGGTGTGAAAGGCTGTGCTTTGCGGGTGCCGTGTGGCGGCCCCGCCCCTGCCTGGATTTCTCCCTCCTTGACTTCCCTTGTGTCTTTCTTCTCTTCTACCTCGCACTACCCCTCTGTAGACCCAGCCCGTGTCCTCAACATGCCCCCCGTAATCTACGTGCCCGTGGGAATCCACGGCTATATCCGCTGCCCTGTGGATGCGGAGCCACCAGCCACCGTGGTCAAGTGGAACAAGGATGGCCGCCCCCTGCAGGTCGAGAAGGTGCTAGAGAGATGCACATGGGGTCCCAATAGACACACCTTCCCAATGCTGCCCCTGGGGGCCTGGTTCCTGCCAGGAACCTTCCCCTCCCCAGCAGAAACTCTGGAGAGCACAGAGCTGCTTCCCATGGGGTGTGCAGTCCGGCAGGGCACTAGGACAGCCCCACCCCTGTGGCTAGTGTGCTGCCTGGCCCTGGCCCTGGCCCTGGCCCTGTGGGGACAGACTGAGTGTGACCCCTGACCGTGGCTCCCGCTCTGCTCTTTGCTCCGGCAGAATCTAGGCTGGACCCTGATGGAGGACGGCTCCATTAGAATCGAGGAGGCCACAGAGGAGGCCCTTGGCACTTACACCTGTGTGCCTTACAACACCTTGGGGACCATGGGCCAGTCTGCTCCGGCGCGGCTTGTCCTGAAGGTGAGGCCAGGACGGCAAGAAGCCTCGAAGCGGGGGGTCCCCGAGATGTCCGCCTCACGCCTGCTCTCATGGCCCTGCTGTGCTCTCCCTAGGACCCCCCGTACTTTACGGTGCTACCAGGCTGGGAGTACCGGCAGGAGGCCGGCCGGGAGCTGCTCATCCCCTGTGCAGCTGCAGGAGACCCCTTCCCTGTCATCACTTGGAGAAAGGTACCTCTGGGTTCTGGAGCTCCCAGGAAATGTGGTGGAGGGGAGGGACTCTGTCCTGGCGGCCAGGTGCCGAGGATCCGGGTGACTCCTCGAGGGCTCCCAGGAACGGGCGTGGAGGGTTGTAGGCCGAGTGCTCGGGCACCCTCCTCTCCGTCTCCTCCGACCCCTGAGGTGTTGGTGGCTTCTCTTCTCCCTGCCCAACCTGGCTCCTCCCCTGCTACCCACTCCTGCCCTCCTTGCCCCCTTGTTTGGCCAAGGTAGGGAAGCCCAGCAGAAGCAAGCACAACGCTCTGCCCAGCGGAAGCCTCCAGTTCCGAGCCCTGAGTAAAGAGGACCACGGGGAGTGGGAGTGCATTGCCACCAACGTGGTCACCAGCATCACTGCCAGTACCCACCTGACCGTCATCGGTAAGGCTGCACGCAGGCGGGAGGCGGTCTGGGTGCTGGGGACTGTGGGCATCTTTCCCAAGTCAGTCCCCCCTGAACCAGGAGCCTCCCATGGCAGCCTGAGCCCTCTGTGGACTGTGGGAGGGAGGTGATGTGGGCCTATTCTGGGGACGTCTTTTTCTAATGGGACAGGCAAAATATACCCATCAAGCCCCCGAAACAGAAATGAGGCACCCGTGTGGCCAGAAACAACTGTTTGGAGCTCTGAGTCCAGGACCTGGTGGGGAAGCTGGGAGGCTTGGAGCGAGGGGGCTTGGGGGGGTGACGGCACTGAGAGCCGCGGTGGGGCCTGGCACAGAGGAGGTGACTGGTGTTCACACTTCCTGGGGCGCCAGCGGGCATTCTGCTCCCACTTACTGTCCTGAGGCGTGTGTCCCGTTCTGCCCGCACCTCTGGGAACAGGCAGCCAGCTTCAGGCCCGGACCAGCAGTGCCGCGTCATTTACCTCCCGTGAGGCGGGAGCCGCTCCTGCCCAGGGCCCGTTCACGGGAGCGAGCCAGGGAGTGGGCACCCTGCCCGGCTCCACCTCCCCGGTGAGCGGCAGGCAGGCCGCAGGCCAAGTTGAAGTTCTTTGCTGCCCCTCACGCTGGCCCCGAGGCTGGACGGCTTTATAGGAGAGGGCTTTCGGGCTTTGCCTGTGACCTTGAGGCAGAGCGTTTCTGTGCTCAGCAGATGAGCACAGGGCTTTGTCTTAGGGCGACGGAGGGATCTGGTTTCCCCTTGGCCCGTGCTCCTAGGGCTCGTGCCCTGTCCCGCTGGGTGGACTGCGTGGTGGGCAGGGCCTCCTCCTGTGCTCCTGCCCGGCAGGCCGGGTGCCCGCTCCTCAGAGTGTCGCCCGTCCCCAGCCATTCCACGCAGGGCGCTGCCTTTTGCTACTGTGCAGCAAGGTTGCGGGTGGCCTGTTCAGTGGGCTCAGTTCTCAGTCTGAGAGTCTCCACTTGGTCTCCAGGCACCAGCCCCCATGCCCCAGGCAGTGTCCGGGTCCAGGTCTCTATGACAACTGCCAACGTGTCCTGGGAGCCTGGCTACGATGGAGGATTCGAGCAGACATTCTCAGTTTGGTACGGACCTCTGTGAGTCAGCCCCGCATGCTTTGCTCTCTGCTTCTCCCTCCCCACCCCACTCAGTCCGTCCCTGGGGTGGGTGGAGGTTGTGAGGAGGAGGTGGCTCTTCCCCAGACCTCTGGGTGCTGAGGCATGTTGCCACAGTGGCTACATTCTTGGGGGGATGGGTGTGTCAGAGGGACTCTGGGCGCTCCCGTATTCCCAGCCCAGAGGTTTGGGAGGCCGATGCCTGAGCTGTCCATCACTCTGTGCTGCTTTCTCCCCCGCTGATCTCACTGCCTCCTCTTGTGCCCTTGGTTCATTCCGCTCTTCGGTTCCCCTGTCCTCTGGGGTCTGGGAGAGATTCCTGATCTTCAAGGGCATTGTGAAACAGCCCAGCCAGAGTGTGGGAGCTAATTTTTATTCTGTACCTTCCCCGGTGGTTCCAGTAACCAGTGTGAAGGGCTGCTCACCCTCCTGGCCGGGGCTGCAGCACCTGCAGTTTTTTTCTAGGACCGTGTGTCCTTGTGTCTTTCTGTCTCTGTTTTTAAGTTAGCCAGATGCAGTGACTTGACATCTTTGCCCAAACCTCGGGGTAGATAGAGATCCCAAAGTTGCAGGACTCAGGCTGAGGACCGGAGCTGTAGAGAAGGGGGAGAGAGAAGCCACAGCTGACCCCTTCCCATCGCCTCCAGATTGCCTTCTCCCCACATCCCTGTCCGGAACCAAGAGCTGGCCGCCTTCATCATGGGCTCATCCCTGAGCCCCTCACTTCTCCTTGAGAAGGGGCAGACCTGTCTCACCTGGGAGGGCATTCTGTGCCAGGCTCAGCCAGGGCTGGGGAGGAGGAAGCCTCACTCCAGAGGAAAGTGCCTGGAGATTCAGGGGAGCCCTTGATACACTTCTCAACAGCCAGGGAGGCTGAGCGGGCACCCACTCTCTTTCCTATGATGGTGATGTGGCGGATATTTCCCAGACTTGAATATCCGAGGCATTTTGAGTTCTGGAGAGGGGAACTGGACCTAGGTGGTGAGCTTGGGGAACTCCAAGTTGCAACCAGAACATACTCCCTCCCCTCATCTTTACTCCTCCCAGGCAGGGTTGGGGCAGGGCAGGGCTCCTGGCANGGTAGATAGAGATCCCAAAGTTGCAGGACTCAGGCTGAGGACCGGAGCTGTAGAGAAGGGGGAGAGAGAAGCCACAGCTGACCCCTTCCCATCGCCTCCGGATTGCCTTCTCCCCACATCCCTGTCCGGAACCAAGAGCTGGCCGCCTTCATCATGGGCTCATCCCTGAGCCCCTCACTTCTCCTTGAGAAGGGGCAGACCTGTCTCACCTGGGAGGGCATTCTGTGCCAGGCTCAGCCAGGGCTGGGGAGGAGGAAGCCTCACTCCAGAGGAAAGTGCCTGGAGATTCAGGGGAGCCCTTGATACACTTCTCAACAGCCAGGGAGGCTGAGCGGGCACCCACTCTCTTTCCTATGATGGTGATGTGGCGGATATTTCCCAGACTTGAATATCCGAGGCATTTTGAGTTCTGGAGAGGGGAACTGGACCTAGGTGGTGAGCTTGGGGAACTCCAAGTTGCAACCAGAACATACTCCCTCCCCTCATCTTTACTCCTCCCAGGCAGGGTTGGGGCAGGGCAGGGCTCTTGGCAACCCTGCTAGGTGACCACTGCAACCACCCGGCTCTGCTGGGCAGCTCCCCGCCTAGGGCCGCGTTGGGCATGACCGAGCCTCCACTGGGGGTGCCAAGTGGAAGATCTGGGCATAGGCAGGGTTTCCCTTGCTGCTTGTGCCTCTGCTCCACGCTGCTGCTCACCTGCATTGCTTTACACGTTGCTCACTTGTTCTGGTGCCTGGGTGGGGTGGGGCAGGTGAAAAGGTCGGGAGGTCTCCTACCGTTCTAGCTCTCTGCGTACTGACTGGGACATCTGGTGCTAGCTTGTTTTTTTTCCTACTGTGCTTTCTGCTGCCTCCACTCCTGGGCATAAATGGTACTGAGCCTTTAACCTCAAAGGGAACCTGGTGGGCATCCACTGAACTGTAGCTCAGGACTGAGGGCCGCGGAGCAGCTCAGTGCACAGGATGATGGCTCCTCCCAGTGGTGATGCCGGGCATTGCGCCTGTGGATGGCGTTAGGTTGGCTGTGCAGAACAAGTGTCTGTCCTCTGCGCACAGCGTGACCTTCTCCTTCGTTGTGAATTCCAACCCTTAAGGCCTTAGGGATCCTGGTCCCCATTGTGGGAAAACTCCAGGCTGTATTTGTCATATACCCTGGACCGCCTCATCTGACTCCAACCTGGTTGGACTGAGTGAGCACTCTGGGTTGCTCCAGGTCCCACTTTTGGCTGCCCCTGGGAGGGTGGGTGGCCGAGGTCACCTGGGTGTCTTCTTAAGCTCTGCTGTTGCCAAATTTCTTACCTTTAAGTTCGTGCTGTGGTACTTGCCTTGTTTCCAGTGTCCTCACTCTCCCAAGGCAGAGCCACTCTTAGGGTTNCCTTTAAGTTCGTGCTGTGGTACTTGCCTTGTTTCCAGTGTCCTCACTCTTCCAAGGCAGAGCCACTCTTAGGGTTGTGACCAGGGTGAGGTTTTCCCAAAATACAGTTGATAATTTGACCAGTGTTTTCAGCATTACTTACACCCAAGTGTCCCTTTTGGAAAAAGAGGTGCCAGCAGTAGCTGGTGACCTGGCATTGTGAGGTTTGGCATATCCAAAGTTGGGTGGCCATCCCTCCTTGGTCTTGACCTCTTCCTTGGACCAGGGAGGCCAGGTCCACCAATGCCACCTCCTCGAGGACCTCGCATGCTCGCTTGTGTCTGCAGCGTAACCCACCCCACCCCCTTGTCTTCGATCTTCTCTCTTTGCTTTGGCCAGGATGAAGCGGGCACAGTTTGGACCCCACGACTGGCTGTCTTTGCCAGTGCCCCCGGGACCCAGCTGGCTGCTCGTGGACGCCCTGGAGCCTGAGACCGCGTACCAGTTCAGTGTCCTGGCCCAGAACAAGCTGGGAACGAGCGCCTTCAGCGAGGTGGTCACTGTGAACACTTTAGGTGAGGGCCTGTGCGGTTGTCTTGGGGGTGTTTTCCGGAGGAGCTGGGGCAGGTAAAGGCGGCAATGGCAGCGATGGTCCCGGAAGCTAACGTTTACATGCCTACTGCGTGCGAGGTACCTGGCAGAGTGCTTTACGCGGTCCTGTCATTTGACCTCCCAGTAAGGATTTGTCACATCTGTGGGGCTCGTCTGGATCAAAGTGCCTCATCCCACATCAGAGCATTTTTGGCCAGATTCCTGTTGCGCCCTCAGATGGATGGAGGAGGCTTTGAACTTATCCTTCGTGGTCAGGCCACATATTCACCTCTTCCTATGGCTTCTCGGGGGAGACTGGGAACCCTTCTTCCTCCTGTATTTCTGCTGTAGCTTTCCTCTGGCCCCCACCTCATTTGGTGGCAACTGTGTGGCTGATGCTTCCTTCCTGGGCCCAGTGGCTCACTCTGTCCCAGCTGCGGCCAGAGAGGGTGGCTGGGAACAGGTGGCATGGCTCCACCCTGCTTTATTGCCACCAAGGGGGCAACAGTGACAGTGCTGACCCCGCACGGGGCGGGATCTCCTCTCCCTGGGCCTTGATTTTCCACCTGGACCAAGAAGGGACTTGGAAGAGTAAGCAGTGTATGTGGGAAGATATTCCTGCTTCCTTGGAAGAAACAAGAGATACGTTTTGCAGTCTTTTTGTAAAGATACTATCTTATTTTAAAATTAAAAATTTTTTTAATTGATTTCAGAGAGAGGAAGGGAGAGGGAGAGACAGAAACATCAATGATGAGAGAGGGTCATTGATCGCTGCCTCCTGCTCGCCCCCTGCTGGGGACCGAGCCCACAGCCCTGTCATGAGCCCTGAGGGGAATCGAACCCCAACCTCCTGGTTATAGGGCGACACAACCACTGAGCCACACTGGCCGGGCAAGATACTATTTTATTAAAAAGATAATTACATTAAATTTTTTCTTCCTCCCTGTAGTTCCCATTTTCCGCCTTTAGAGGAACTGGGTCCCCTCCTGGGAGGTGTTTGGAAGTACTCAGAACAGGAGCCGAAGCTCTGGCTCACTTGCCATGCCTCCTTTTTTTGGGTCCGGAGGGCTCTTTTCTGTGACACTCTTGCCCCTGAAATGAGCATGCACTGGCGTGTGGCATGTGACCGTCACCTTGGGGCCACGGCGCCCCCAGGGACACGTGCTGGGCCCGGAGATGGCGTGCACGCTGGGGACGCCGCGGCCTCAGCCCTCCCGCACCGTCTCCCTTCTCCCCCCGCTGCAGCATTCCCCATCACAACTCCAGAACCCCTGGTGCTGGTTACCCCACCACGGTGCCTCACAGCCAACCGGACCCAGCAGGGTGTGCTGCTGTCCTGGCTCCCACCTGCCAACCACAGCTTCCCCATCGACCGCTACGTCATGGAGTTCCGCGTCGGAGAGCGCTGGGAGATGCTGGACGACGCCATCCCAGGCACCGACGGAGACTTCTTTGCCAAGGATCTGTCGCAGGTGAGGCTCTAGCTTTCCCTGCTGCTGCTTCCCCAATTCTGGCAGTGACAGGACTCTTTCTGGAGTCACCAGGAGCTTTGAATGACTCAACTCGGATGTATGAGGTCTGGCCAGGCACTAATGTACCGCATCACTGTCTGCGTTCTCTCAGAGCTGCACGAGGTGTGGGCTCCTCAGCTCACAGTGACTGAGGTTCCACAGACTCAGGGCCAGCGCTGGGACAGTGGGGAGTTGTGTTGCCTTGAGTGGTTCCTCCAAGCGTGGACACAAGCTGGGGCAGGGTGGGCAGGGCAGGAGCGGGGCTGTGTCACCAGACACTGACTTCAGCTCCTTGCTGGGAGCCTAACCCCAATGGACAGGATTTCCCAGGACTGTCTTCTAGCTTCCCCCTTTAACAGTTTAGAGCCTCGGGGAAAACATTCTCATCAGCTGACCCCTCTAAACTTGGCGCTCTCTCTAGCTGGAGAGAGGAAGGAGCCTATTTCATGGGAACAGACAGTCTCACCTACCTCTGTCTTCCTTCCCTGGTGCTCATTTGGTGCTGGAATTGGCTCATGGTGGCGCCTGAGCGCCCTGATGCTTCTCTTCTCACCTCTCCTTTCAGCAGCCTCACTTGAAGTCAGCCATGGTCAGAGTATTTACAACATGGCAATTGGCAGATGCTACAAACCAGGACTTTTTTTAGCTTGAGAGCAGGTTGTGCCCACTGCTTGGGGTGCCGTGTTCTGTGACACGTCATTGCAGGCACAGTGGTGGGGGGGTGGGGGGCCCGTAGCAGGTCAGCGGCTGTCTCAGGTCCCTTGGCTGACAGGCGTTGTCCCTGCGGCTGCAGGACACCTGGTACGAGTTCCGGGTTTTGGCTGTCATGCAGGATCTGATCAGCGAGCCCAGCAACATCGCCGGCGTCTCCAGCACAGGTACCTTGGGGGTGGGGCTTCTCTGACAGCTGTCGGGACGTCGCCCCAGGGCCACATGGGAGGCCCTTCGTGAACTAGCCAGGATGGGAAGGGAGCACTAGTTGAAACTGCGTGAGCTGTAGCCTTTCGTCATCCCGTCAGATCCACGCTTCTGCTTCCAGGAGGGACGGGGTTTCTCCAGCTCGGGAGCTGCACTGATGGCAGCTTCTATAAGATGCCGCAGAAGGGAAGTCAGCGACTCTTCTCATTAATGTAGTGAAAAAGAACTTGGTTTAGGTTATTTTTCTATAAAACCCATTTCCCCCAGTGTGACCCTCTCTAAGGGGCTGGGGCCTGAATCAGCTGGAGCAGGGACGACGGGTCAGCAAGTACCCATTGAATGAATGCCTCGTGAGACTGACTGCTTCTTAGGCAGGGTGGTTTTATTTGGAAAACTGCCGCTTGGTGGTGTTTCCCTTCACTCCTTCCTTTCAGGCTCAATTAACCCACCCCCTAGCATTTTCTCAATTTCTTTCTTTTTCTTACCCCTGGTCCCGTTTCTACACATCTTTCTCGAGCTGCAGGTTCTGAAGCCCAGCAGGTCCTCCTCTCTCCCTGTGGAGAGGCTCCCTTGGCGTGGGGAGAGGCGCTTGCTTAGTGATAAAGCATGGGCACCATTTCCATGGGCACTGCTCCCCTGGGACCTGCTGGCAAGGAGCTTGGCCAGGCGTGGGGGGGCAGATTGGGGAGTGGGCAGGGGAGTACAGAAGTGGCACGAGAGCGTTTGGGGAGAATGGAGTGTGGTTTCTGTGCACCATGGGGCTATTTTCTTTTTTTTTATACACAAAGGTCCCTCCTTTAGGCCGCAGAACCCGGTCTCCCTCTGTCTTGGCTTCCCTCCAGGGAAGAGCCTCAGAGATGGAGGGATGGGGAACGGAGCCTGCAGCCAAGGCCAGGGCAGAGACCGCAGGGCTTTGTGGGCTTATCTCAGTAACTGTTCTTTATTCAGCAGCTTTGGGCTCGGCTCCCAAATGGAAGCGTACACAGTGGGGAGATTCCTCGTGGGTGGATATGGACACGGCAGCCTCAGCATTCCCTGTACTTAAGTCCCCCGTTTCCAAAGACTGGAGCATTCATTTTTCTACTTAACCAGTCAGCATGACTTGGATTTTTTTAATTCATTGTTATTATCAACATAGTAATGGATTCTGGCGAAGTATATCAGAATATATGGATTTCCCCTTTGAGGGACCTAAAGAGCGGCACTTACTCTATAGTGCCTAGTTTAGCGGCACTGTAACTGTCCCGTGCAGTCAAATACAGTAGACCCACGTATAGTCGTGGCTCTGTCACTAACAAGCGCTGCAAATGTGGGCACAAAGTGAGCCTCAGTTCTGTACCTGCAAGATGAGGAAGTTGGGCCCTTAACCGCGTCCCTGCGGCCCAGCACTCTGTACCTGAGGGACCAGGACGTGCTCCTCTTCCAGGTGGAAGTTGCTCGCCTGTAGTGTAAGGGGTTGGAAATGCATGGAACTGAACTGAGCAGTAGTCAGCCCCTCTCCCGGCTGTAGTCTTTCACCCTCGAGGAGCCTTCACACCTGGCTTCTCACTTGGTAGAGACGGCAGAACACACTGAACTGGAAGTCAGAATAACCGTGTGTCGTTGCCGCAATGAGTCACTCAAACTAAGCCAAGTACCAATTTTCCATTTAGAGAGTGGGAGCAGCATCGTGTACCGTGTCTACCTCATGGGGTTAGCGTGAGAGTATCTGATAATATGCAGGAAAATGCTTTGCCGAAAGCACTGGACATAAGCACTAGATTATTATTGAAGTTATTATATTATATTGAAATTATTTTCCCCACAGGGGTAAGATATAGATGCTGTTTCTTTTTTGCTAGCTATGCGGTGACTACTTGCCTAAGTAATCTGTCCCCTTTTCCCTCCCCTGCCATTCAAACCTCTTCAGGGCTGGAGCTGAACGTGAAGCCTGAGCCTTAAATTGTCTGTGGACAGAGTCAGGGAGCATACACGGGGCTGGGTGTCAGAGCAGGTGGGGCCTTGGGGAGGGAGCGGGCCTTGTGCCTCAAGGGTCCTCCATGCCCCTCCCCGCAGACATCTTCCCCCAGCCGGACCTGACCGACGACAGCTTGGCCCGGCCAGTGCTGGCTGGCATCGTAGCTACCATCTGCTTCCTGGCAGCCGCCATCCTGTTCAGCACCCTGGCCGCCTGCTTTGTCAACAAGCAGCGCAAGCGTAAGCTCAAGCGCAAAAAAGGTGGGTGTCGTCCCCACCCCTGTTCTGCCTGGCCTAGTTTCAGAAGCTCCCCATTGCATGGTGCCCCTTGAAGAGGGGGGGACTGGGGTCTTGTGGGTAGAGCTGCCCGTGGGACTTGATGTGAAAAGAGAAAGGAAGCAGGGTTGGTGGGAGAGTCTGGAGAAGGTAGCACCTGGTGGTGGGGACAGGACACTGAACTGGACCCAAAGATGACGGACGCTGGAAGGCACTGCGCCCCTTGTGGCTCTGCTCTGGGCCCTGCGGATGGCTGGGATGTGTTTTGTTGTTTTGGGTTTCAGCAGGCTCTCCCCTCTTTCCTTCTAGACCCTCCACTCTCCATCACTCACTGCAGGAAGAGCCTGGAGTCCCCGTAAGTGCTCCTGCCCCCGGCCCCCGGAGGCGGCTGTTTGTGGTGTGTGGGTGGAAGGTCAGGGTGCAGACGGTGGGTGGTCTGCCTCGCCCAGCCCATCGCGGTGTTTCTATACTGCTTATTGTGGGCGGATCTGCAGGGTGATTCTAAGTCGGCCTCACTGTTCTCCGCAGGAGGAGCTTCGTGTAGACAATCCAGATTCCTGGACAATCCATTTCTCTTTAGCTTGGGGATGCAGTTCTGTGATTTTTTTGATCATCCTAGCAGATTTGCCACCTTAATATGTTTTGCACTGTTAATATTAAAATGAGCTTGCTTTCCGTGAGCAACCTGGGAGTGAGGTTGCTGGTGTGACTAGACTGCACGGCAAACAGTGGGGTGGGTGGGTGTTCACTCAGAAAACACAGCTGGACAATTGAGAGTTGGCCCAAGAGTTCCACGCAGAACTGTGCAGCCACCTGCGGTCCTTTTCTGAGTCCTGTCTTCCCAGGTGTTTGCGGTTGGTATTTGTTAAGGGAACAAAAGGAAGTGATGGGCCAGTGTGTCCCCTGACTCATCCTTCCCGCTCTCTCCCTCATCTCCCAGCCTCTCCTCGGGCAAGGTGAGCCCAGAGAGCATCCGGACGCTCCGGGCCCCCTCAGAGTCCTCCGATGACCAGGGCCAGCCCGCAGCCAAAAGAATGCTGAGCCCCACCCGGGAGAAGGAGCTGTCCTTGTACAAGAAGACCAAGAGGGCCATCAGCAGCAAGAAGTACAGCGTGGCCAAGGCTGAGGCTGAGGCCGAGGCCACCACGCCCATCGAGCTCATCAGCAGGGGCCCCGACGGCCGCTTCGTGATGGGGCCCTCCGAGGTGGAGCCCGCGGCGAAGGGTCGGCGCATCGAGGGCTTCCCCTTTGCGGAGGAGACAGACATGTACCCTGAGTTCCGCCAGTCTGACGAGGAGAATGAAGACCCACTTGTGCCCACATCCGTGGCCGCCCTGAAGTCCCAGCTGACCCCTCTGTCATCCAGCCAGGAGTCCTACCTGCCACCACCAGCATACAGCCCTCGGTTCCAGCCCCGGGGGTTGGAGGGCCACGGAGGCCTGGAAGGCCGGCTCCAGGCTACGGGCCAAGCCAGGCCGCCTGCCCCGCGGCCCTTCCACCACAGCCAGTATTATGGGTACCTCAGCAGCAGCAGCCCTGGGGAGGTGGAGCCACCACCCTTCTACGTGCCAGAGGTGGGCAGCCCCTTGAGCTCTGCCATGTCCTCGCCGCCCCTGCACACGGAGGGGCCTTTCGGCCACCCCACGATCCCTGAGGAGAATGGAGAGAATGCTTCCAGCAGCACGCTGCCCTTGACTCAGACGCCCACGGGTGGGCGCTCCCCTGAGCCCTGGGGCCGGCCGGAATTCCCCTTCGGGGGCCTGGAGACCCCGGCCATGATGTTCCCCCACCAGCTGCACCCCTGTGATGTAGCCGAGAGTCTGCAACCCAAGGCCTGCCTCCCCCGAGGACTACCCCCCACCTCCCTCCAGGTGCCCTCGGCCTACCCAGGCATCCTGTCTCTGGAGGCGCCAAAGGGCTGGGCAGGCAAGTCACCGGGCAGAGGCCCTGTCCCCGTGCCCACCACCACCAAGTGGCAGGACAGACCTCTGCAACCGCTGGTGAGCCAAGGGCAGCTGAGACATACCAGCCAAGGCATGGGCATACCCGTGCTGCCTTACCCCGAGCCTGCCGAGCCGGGGGGACGCGGTGGCCCCAGCACATTTGGCCTGGACACTCGGTGGTATGAGCCCCAGCCCCGGCCCCGGCCCAGCCCCCGGCAGGCCAGGCGCACCGAGCCCAGTTTACATCAAGTGGTGCTACAGCCCTCCCGGCTCTCGCCTCTGACCCAAAGCCCCCTCAGCTCCCGCACTGGCTCCCCTGAGCTGGCCGCCCGGGCCCGGCCTCGCCCTGGCCTCCTGCAGCAAGCCGAGATGTCTGAGATCACCCTCCAGCCCCCGGCCGCGGTCAGCTTCTCGTGCAAGTCCACGCCGTCCACGGGCTCCCCATCCCAGAGCAGCCGCAGCGGGAGCCCCAGCTACCGGCCCACCGTGGGCTTCACCACTCTGGCCACGGGCTACCCCTCCCCGCCACCGGGCCCTGCCGGGCCTGCGGACAACTTGGATGTGTTTGGACAGACGCCCTCCCCTCGAAGGATGGGGGAGGAGCTGCTCAGACCAGAGCCCCCCCCACCACAGTTACCTGCTTCAGGGTGAGTGTGAGCTGGTTCCTCCCGCCCCCTTCACCGAGCCATCTTCCTGCCCCCTTCCTCACCCGCCCTCCACCCTTCCATCACCGGAATGACAGGGCTTGTCTGGAATTGCTGCAGCACCCCTTCAGGAGAGTTCTGGTCTTGGCATCAACAGGGTGTGGTCGTTGGGGTGGGGGTGGGGCTTACTGCCCAGGTACCCTGCCAGGAGCATGAGGGATCTTCTCTGTCCAGCTCAGAGCTGTCAGGAGTGGCACATATGGGCAAGAGGCGGGGCGTGGCATGTCCCAGTGAGTGGTCACCCCAGTTCCTCATGGAGTGGAGAGCTCACCATGTCCCTGTGATCCTGGCTTGGGGGGTGGCTCCGGGGTTTGCCCAGAGACCTCGTATCTAGTCTCCTTTTCTTCCCAGCCCCTCCTCCTTGCTTAGCAGGACCCTGAAGCCTGACTCCCCTGGGCCACCAGGCCTGGGGCACTCCTGCTCCCAAACCCAGCCCTTAGCAGTCTAGTCAGCGCCGGGCCCCTCCACAGCCTCTCCAGGGGGCACAGCCTGGAGGCCGGGACCCACATCTCAGGCTGTGAATCATGTGCGAGCCACATACCCCACCCCAACCTGTGTGCCTCGCAGGAAGCTGCAGACAGACAGACAGACAGACAAGCTCCTGCGATCGGCCTGCCCGAGAGAGCACACTGTAAACAGTAGCAGCTGGTATTCCAGGTACCAGTCAGCCTGGACACCCGTCTGGCCTCTTTCTCTTGTCTTTCTTCTCCTGCCCTCTTCCTCTCTCCCCCTCCCTTTCCTTCCTCCTCGATTCTGTCTTCCTGTCTGTCCTTCCTTCTCCATCTTCTTGGGTTGGCCCAACTTGCTCAGAAGAGCCTGCAATGTCTGGGTAGTACCCCGGCCCCCCCCCGTCTTTCTGGTTCCGTCCTTTGGTCTCTTCTTGATGTGGCCTCCTGTGCAGGGGAGCAGAGAGTCCCAGAGGAGGCTGGCCTGCGGGAGGCGGGGTGGGTGGCGGTTGAGGAGGAGGGAGCCCAGCGCCCTTCCCCTGCCCCATTCACCCCCACCCTGTTTGGTACCTGGAAGTGCAAGCCTCACCTCCCGCTCCCCCCCTGCTCCTGGTGGGGCGACAGGAGAGGCCTCGGGAGGCGGAGGAGAGCCACCGACAGGCCCGCAGGAGCGCCGAGGCCGAGGCCGTGCCTGAGCCTGTGTCTGTGCAGTCTGCTTTGCAGCGCGCTCATCTGCTCTGTCCCATCGTTGCCGTCTGGTTCTCTGTCTCTCTCCTCTCCTTCCCCTCACCCCATTATTCTCTGGCCTCCTAGTCGGTTCTCTGGCCCCTGTGCTCCTCCCCTCCTCCCCTCTGGGTGTGCGTGGGTGGTTACCCCCGTGGCCTGTGTTGATAACTGCTTTGTTTCTGATTGATCTCAGCTATCTGGGCAGTGTTGTCGAGACAAGCCTCTCCTCAGCTCAATAGGTAAGGGAGCTCCACGGCTGGGGCGGGGCGGGGGGCGGACAGGCGGACGGGGCTTTGGCAGGGCCATCGCTTCCTTTACAGGGGAATCCAGGCCATGTCCCTTCACCCCCTCAGTGGGGGCGGCAGCCTCTGCTCCTTGAATCCCAAGCTTCTGGGTTCCCCATATCACGCTGCTCCAACAGCCCAGCGGCCACGCTCGGGCACTGCCTCGCTGCAGCTTCTCGCCCACCACGTGTTAAGCTGTCCCATAGCCTCCTGCAGTTTTCTTGACTCAAACACCTTGCCATTCTGCTGCCAACACACCCAGAGCTTCCACAGAAGTCCCTTGGGACCCTGCATGCACCCTGAGGGACCCAGAATGCCTAAGGTCTGCTTTGCCTCTCTGTACCCTTGAAAATATGTCTGGGGCCACACTGGTACCCAGGAACATCCCACCCTCTCTGCCCTGTTTTCCCAGCAGCCTCAGGTATAGCGCCCCCTTCCTCCCTAACCCCCCAGAGACTCAGACCTTCCCCAGGGTGGCTGGCTCCTCACTGTCTTCTTGGGATCTTCCTAATAGTTGGTCCTCTCAAGGAGCACAGGGTTGAGGTGTTGCCCAGCTCCTTCCCCAGCCACTGGGTCTTCCTTAGGGCCAGGTCACCTGCGGTCCTCCAAGGGCAGGTAGGGAGATGTCACCACTTCCCATGCTCCTTGCATTCCGCAGCCGTCCTTGGCTGTTGCAAGACTGAGATGTGGACCTCGCCCTTAGGTTCAAATTGTTCTCAAGGTCCCTGTCGCGGCCAGTCCTGACCACCTTGAGTCACAGCTGTAGGGAGAGTCTTTCGAGGAGCTCGAGGAGGCGAGGACAGGTTCCCAGGCAGAAGGAAGCTGAGATAGCAAGAGACAGACATGCTGGATGTAGCACTGCATTCCTTCCTCTGCTGCCCACCATGGTGACTCCTTCTTGGGGGGGTGTCTCAGGAACTGGGCACTTAGAAGGGTTTCAAGTTTCTTAAAAAGGCTTTCAGGGTTACGCGAGGCCCGCTCGCTGTCATGGTAACTGAGAAGACGCTTCTTTTTGCGTGTAGGCCACCAGCACTCAGGGGGAGAGGGAGAGCCTCCTGATGTCCTGGCTCCTGGAGGTGAGGGCCGCTGCCTCCCTTTGCCACCTGGAGGTGCCAGGGACTGTAAATCTAACCCAGGACTGTAAATCCTTTGCAGTCATAGAGAGGCATCCCATAGTGAGGATGCTGGGCCATTTCTTCATGATCTTCAGCTACTGAAAGTGTCAGCAGCCAGGAGGCCCTGGGATGATGTGAGGCCAGCTGGGGGCCCCACTTGGCAGTTAGCACTGGGAGACGTGAGGGTCAGGAGGTCTTTGTGAGCTCACCTGCGCTGGGGGCTCTGTGGCCTGTGGGTAGACACCCCACAGTGACAGTGACTCGACTGTCCTCCATCTCCCTGCCCTCGCTCCCTGCCACCCAGTTATGACCCCTCTGTCACCCTTGAGGTGTCAGTCACAGCTCCAGGACCAGCTCTCCTTCGCTCCTGGAAAGTGCCTGGACCCCATTCTCATTTGCTCCTGCTATTCCCCCTCACCCGAGTGTTTGGCCCTCTCCCTGCATTGTCCCCACGGCGTCAGATCTGAGAGAGCGAGCTCTCATGCTCTCACTGTGCTCTCATTGCCGTGGGAAACCCAGACCCCAGGGGCCACCGACCCGAGCCTAGGAGAGTAAGACCCTCCCACAGCCTCAGAGTTAGACCTCGATGGTGCTGGGCAGCGGGAGCCACCACGCGCCCTCCTGCTTGCTGAGGGCTTCCCGGGTGCGGGAGCTGCTGGGCCATCGGGAGGCGGCAGGCTCCTCTTCAGAGGCTGTCTCCATGCTGCGCCTTTGCATGTGTCTCCACTTGGTCTTGCTTGGAGATGTGACACGTCCTGTCTACGTTCGTTCTCGCTCTGTTACTATTTCCTCCAGTTTCTTTCCTGTCCCTTCTCCCCACACCTGCAGTATTTCCCCCCCCTCCTCCTCTCTCCCCCTCTCCTCCTCTTCCCAACTCCCTTCTCGAAACGGGGAGTTGTATGCGTGGGCCTGTTCCGTGAATGGCTGGGGGGCTGAGCGGTTTTCTCAGCTCCCTGTTTGACACCAGTAGCACCGCTATTCTCATATCTCCCTCTAATCCCCCTTCCCGTTAATACCGACTTTGGCCTCCATTATGCAGGTGGGTCTGGGAGCGTGGACGGGGCCCCTTTTACTGGGACAGCCATGGGAAGGAGCTCCCATTTGGAGAAGCGTCTCCTGGCTTCTGAGGCCAAGCACTTGGTGTGCGCCCTGGTCCCACTGGAGAGCCACCATCTGTGGTCAGAGTGGAGGAGCAGCTGCCTCCAGGCTCCCGGCTTTCTGCTCTGTGTGTGGAGGACGGTTTTGCCTTTTTCCTGGCTACACCTTGCCCATGTGTGGATTTCCTCAGCCTGCCTACCGCCGTGGATATTCAGACAAGCAGAGTCTGCTCTCAGGCAATTAAGAAGAGACGGCAGATGCTCTTTAAATCCTGGCTTCCGCCTGCTCACGGAGCAGAGCTGCACACTGGGTCATAGCGGTGAGCTCTGGGGCATTAAGGGCAGGAAATGCCCCTAATGGACTTGGATTTTGACTTTCCTGTCCTGTGGTTTGCCTGCCTACACTTTGAACCAGGCTGTCTTTCCTCCACTGCTCTGGGTCAGCATAGAGCTAAGCAGCTAAGGAAAGCTTAGCTAAATGGTCATGGTTTGGGTTTTGTATGGATTTTATGAAGACAGAGAGGAAATAAGGGAGTGTTAAAGTAAATTCCAGGCAGTTTTTGGTAATTCTGAACTGCCAAGTAGCACAACTGGAGTAGAGGACTGCATATTATGGGCAAGACAGTGTGGAAGATCCAGAAAAATCCCTAAGCTTGGAGGCCGTCACCTTTCAGTGATGCTCTTACTTCCTGGGAGAAGGGGCACCCCAGAGTTTGCAGAAACCCTGTATGTGTGGGAAGAATTGGGGCTGATTAGAAAGAGACCTGGAGTCTCAGCTTCCCGGAGAGCCCAGGGATGGGTTCTGCTCTGACAGGGTGACCTACGAGTCAGCCTCAGGTTTACTTGCCAACTTTATTCCAGGGATAGGTGGAGGTGCTTAACCCAGGCTTCCTACTTGTCTGAGGGACACCAGCACCAAAAGCCTCATTACCCGAAGGTCCCCCAGATGAGCTTGACATGGACAGGGGACCGGGTCACCCTGTCTAGAAGAGGGAGGTGATTTGATTCCAAAGGCCTCAACATGCGGCAGACGAAGTCTGTGGAGCACATTTCATGTGTCTTTTCTATGAAGTTTGCTAAAATTAAAGACCCATTTTGCCTTCCTCCCTCCCTTCCTGCCTCCCTCCCATCCTAGACATTGGCTTGTGGTTTTTCTGCATTGGGAGAGCATCTTGGTGCCTCAGGAGCCTTCTTCTGTCCTGTTTCTGTGTCTGAGTGCGGAGCCAAAAGTGAGAACAGGTCGACAGCAGGTGTCCTGGAAGGGCTGGAGCTTGGCTGTTTCATGAAAGAAAATTGGCTTCTCCTCCTCAATGGGACATTGTTTGGGAATTTTTGCCTAAACTAGCCAGCTTTTCCCTGTCCCTGGTGTGTCTCCGCCTGGCTCTGCCATCACAGCTGAGAATGTTGATGACTCGTTCATTGCAGCCGGTTCATTCTGGTCAGTTGATTTCTCAAATGATGCGTGGAGACCGTGTTTTTCTTCAATGTGTCTTCTATACCTGCTTTATTAGAGAGAAGTTGGAAAAATAGGCTAGCCTAGTGTTGAGAATCTTGGCTCTATCACATAATAACTGGATAATTGGACAAGCTGTCTGGCCTCACTCAGTTTCTCCATCTGAAAAATGGGGTCAATGTAGTAGCTACCCCTTAGGGTTGTTGTAAGAATTAAAGAAAATGATTGTAGAGAACACAGGTCAGTGCCTGGCATGGTAAGTGGCAAACAGATGCTGTGTGATAAAAATAATAGTAGCAATTTGTTGATTGTAATAATAAATACATGCCTGGAAGTTTCACCTGGCTTGGAGAATCCATAGACTTCTTAGGGTCTCTCATGCCCTGGTGGGTGATGTTCTAAGCGCTGTTTCCTGGGTCCACTTGCTTGTCATGTGCCTGCTCGGACCATACATCACTCACCGTGTGCGGCCCTCTGAGGAGGTTGGCTGGGCCTTGGAGACAGGTCAGACGAACAGCAGGTTTACGTCTGTGATCTTCCTTTTAGGCAGCATGAAGAAGCCTTAGTGAAGCATGAGAGGGGTGAGGACATTCCCCAGCATTGGGAAGTCATGCACCCCCATGCCCTAGCCATCTCCACCTTTTGCCTGCCTTCAAATTCCCTTCCAGCCGCTGCTGCCGCCATAGAGGATCTCTGTGGGTAGACTGTGGAGTTTGTGAAAGAGGAAGGAGTGGGGAATTGGCAGATTGGGTCTTTGGGGTGGAAGACCTGCCTTCCAATGGTGAGTTGGACCACTTCTCTACTGGCCTGCGTGTGCCTTTGCGCGCATGGAAGCTGGGGCCTCTTAGCTCCGTGCTGTCAGGGGGCTGTGGAAAATCAAGAAGTTGTCTCTGACCTGAACTTGGGAGGAGCTTCTTGATACTTTACTCACTGAAGGGCTATGGAGTGATGACATCCATCAAAGAAGATGCAGGAAACCCCAGGGACCAGAGGCGTATCTACAGTTAGTCTGTAAGTTTCGTCTTTCTCATTCCTGCAAAGATACGCGATGTTGGGGCGATGCAGCTGTGATCTTCCCACCCCTCCATCGTTTTTAAAAATACCTCGAACTGCTGGCTCACCATCGGGGACTTCTTTTACCCTTACAGGGTCCCTGTTCTCCTTTTAATCAGGATTATTTACCCAAAACCAGTTGTGCTGGAGCTGGAAGAGGGAGGTGTGGGGATTGAGGCGCAGTGGTTCGCCGTGGCCCTAGAATGTCTCGCCTCGCTGACTGGGGCTCATGCCAGCACTGGGGGGGGAAAGAAAGGGTGACCTGCCTCTTCCCCCCTTTGTTCCCCAGGCTCCAGGTTTGGCTTATGTGGTGAAGAAATGCCACTGATAACATATCTTCTAGATTTTCTTCTTTTATGACTCTTGAAAAATTCTCTCTAATATGTGCAGAATGTCACAGCCTTTGGGTGGTGCTGTTACCTGTCTTCTCAGCTCTCTTTGGTCCCCTTTGTCACCTGGGCTGCACAGTCTTCACTTAAATCGTTGACTTTTTTCTAACCATGCATTTGATCCATCAGGCAAACGGCAGTATCCACTCGACGGGTGGCGAGAGAGAGGCCGATATTCATGGTCTCCTTGCCCAGCAACCTCAGGTTCTCTGTTGAATATTAAAATAGAGATTCATTGGATACTTGCTACAGATGTCATGGGCTTTGTGAGCCTGCAGATTTGGACACTCTTACCATCGTAATCTGCTTCTACCCTTCGTTTATTCTCTTACGTGACTGAAGAAATCTGCGCCCAGCCTGCAGAGGGTCGGGGAGAGCCCCTGAAATGTTGGTAGATGACGAGGGTCTGTTGCCGCTGGCCGCAGGCTGTGCCTGAGCCGCGTACGTGGAGGGAAAGGAGCCTGGGAAGCCGCGATTCCTGTTCGGTGCTGGCCTTCCTTTTCTGGGGGAGGACAGTTGATGGGGGTTGGAGTTGCTCACGTCTGCTTTAATCTGCCCTTTTACTTTTCACTTAAAGGCCTTGACTGTGATGATCTCTAAGGACTTCGGACGTTGGAGCTGCTTCCTCCTCTGACCTTCCTCCTCCCGGCTTGAGTTCTCTGTGATGGGCTTACTATGAAAGCCTCTCTCTCCCTTTCCTAGGTCTCTCTCCCTTTCCTAAAGCCTCTCTCACCCTTTCCTAGGCCACTCTCCCTTTCCTAGGTCTCTCTCCCTTTCCTAAAGCCTCTCTCTCCCTTTCCTAGGTCTCTCTCCCTTTCCTAAAGCCTCTCTCTCCCTTTCCTAGGTCTCTCTCCCTTTCCTAAAGCCTCTCTTTCCCTTTCCTAGGTCTTCTGATTGCTCTACAGGTTCGCTTCCCGCTCAGCTGGGCCTCCCGCCGCTGGAGCTCTCAGTGGGTCTTCTCCCTCCCAGGGGCAGTGGAAGGAAAGGTGCCGAGGAGCCCTGTGGACACCTGCGACTCCACAGAACTGTCTGCTGTCCTACAGGCCAGCTCTGTGGCTTTCTTCCAGCCCCGCTGCCAAAGCTCCCTGTTCTGGGAGCTGACCCATGCCTCTCTAATTGTCACTTTCCAGGACACATCCACCTGCACCCGGGAGCGCTGCTGCACCTGAGAGGCTGGAGGCGCTGAAATACCAACGGATAAAGAAGCCCAAAAAGTCATCCAAGGGCTCTTCAAAGTCAAAGAAACGATCCGGTAAATGGCGGGACACCTTGCTCCTCTCCACCTTGCCCGCCATTGTTATGGGATTGTTTGGTCCAGGACCCCAACCTGGGGTTTTCTTTAGGGTTGAGGCCATCCGTTATTTCATTCTTTGTTTCTCTTTAACACCAATTTCCAATTAATATGCAAATATAACTTTCATGTAAAAAGTAAGAAAGGGAAGGTTAAAATCTCTGATTGTCCTTCCATTCTGTTTCCTCTCACCTGGGAACCATTCCTCTCCGTGGTAGGTGTGTTTTCAAGAACCTTTCTGTGCATACACCTTTAAAAGACACTGTATTGTTTTAATGTATTTTTAAACAGCATACATACCAGCTTAGTTTTCTCCATTCTGCAATACCCCATCTCCTTATATATTTCCTCCCTGTTATTTAAGACCTTCTAGTTAGACATGGGAATTACGGGGTTCTACTCAGTGCTTAGGGGACATTGTGGCATGGACCCAGCTTCTGCAGGTTGACCAGATTTTTCTCAATGAGAGTGAAATCGCACTTTGTAGAAAGGACACCTCTACTGAATTTTGTCTGATGTTTCTCCAGCAGTAATAGGTAGCTGCTAAGATAGTATAAAAACAATTCAGCCCTTTTTCAGATGTAGAGAATTTCTTAATATTTTCCCCATACTCTTTTTACCAGTGGTTTTAGGAATGTGACAGGCTGTCAGAGAAGATGTGGAACAGTTTCTTGCAGATCTTTAATAACTACTGTAGAGTAATTCTCTTTAGAGACTGGGTTACGGAAAAGTGTTGTTCAGAGGCCCCTTGAGTCTTGGGGAGAATGTGAGCACTTATTTCTCACTTTGCCTTTGTGCTGTTCCCCTGTTAGTTTACAGATGGGAATACTGAGGCCGAGAAAAAGAAAATGAAGGTTTTGGAGTTTGGGTGGGAAATTGGAGCCCACAGCTGAATTTTCAACTTATGTGAGCTCTCATTTCAGCCTAAGACTTATCTCTATCTGTCTGTCTATCTATCTATCTATCTATCTATCTATCTATCTATCTATCTATCTATCAATCATCTATCATCTATTTTTTTTAAAGACACATCAGATGCCCATGTTCTCCTGTTCTCTTATAGTGGTCCTGTTCCCCTATATATTAACAAGTCCCAAGTATGTCTGTAATCCAGATCTATTCCATGAGCTCAAGTCTCATATTTCCAGTTGCCTGATGAACATGCATTTGGAGGTTTTATAAGCCTTTGTAATGCCCCAAATAGAGTTAGTTATTGATTACCCTCCCAAATCTCCTGCTCGGTTCTTCCCCAGTTTCATAAATAGCACTGCTACCAACCCAGCCTCTCCGGCTACCCAACCTTGATTCCTCTCTTGCTCTCACGTCTTACATCCAGTCCACTTGGTAAGGTCTGTTGGCTCAGCTTTTAAAACATATCCCGGATCTGACCCCACTTTTCTCTGTCTCAACTGATAAAACTCAATTCTGAGTCACGCTCATCTCTCGCCTTGGCTATTGCAGTAGCCTCCTAGCCGGTCCTCCTGCCTCCCCCCTGGCTCCTGGTACAGTGTACTGGACACACAGCAACCAGAGTGATCTTTGGGAAGTGTAATGGCATACTCTCTGCGTTGGCCATGGGCATATGTTTACACTCACACACATGCACACGTGCACACATACACGCATACTGCTTATTAAAACCTTCCAGAAGCTTCCCACTGGATTCAGAACTGATTTTGAACTTATGACACCGCCTGTCTGTCCCGCCTCCCTTTGTCTGCTCGCTCTGCGTTAGCGGCAGTGGCCTTCCTTCTGTCTCGGGAACATGTCGCGTTTGCTCCTAACTCAGGCCTTTCACACGTGACGTCCCTCCTGTCGGGAACACTGCCTCAGATCTTCACAAGGCTCACGGGTGTTTCTCTTTCGGGGAGCAGCGGTGTCTCCGTCATTTGCTACCTCGTGACCCCCGTTTATCTTTCTCCGTAGCACTTGAAGTATCTGAAAACTATTTCTGTAGCTTTTAGGTCTTTACCGTTTGCCTTGTTCTCCTCACTCCTGCGTTAAAGTATAAGCTTCTAGAAACAAGGTCTTTCTCTGGACCTCCGGAAGGGCCACAAGGCCGGGGAGTGGCCCTGGCGCCCAGGAAGGGCCGTGCTGGCCTCTGTCGCATATGACGGAGACCTCGCGTCAAGTCCATCGTTGCTTGAAGGGAGGGGAAAGAATGAGAAAAATGTATTAAGTTCCAAGCCCAGCACCTAGAATGGTTCCTGGACTCGGGGTGGCACTAAAATAGACATATTAATATATATATTTTTAACCCTCACCCGAAGATAATTTTTTATTGATTTCTTTTGAGAGAGAGAGGAAGGGAGAGAGAGGGGGAGAGAGAGAGCAGGGATCGGACCTGCAACCTAGCCTCGTGCCCTGACCGGGAGGAGAACCCCAGCCTTTCCATGACGGGACGGCGCTCCAACCACTGAGCCACCCAGTCAGGGCAGTATTTCTGTCATAAAAAGGAAAAATAAATATATAAAATACGTTAAATAAGCATGTTTGACATTAAATAAAAGGTAAATATAAGTATTGATGGGCTAGATCCACCCTGCTTGTTTGACTCCTGCGAGAGCCAGGGCAGCGACGTGGGTGTGGGTGGCCGCCGGGTGAAAGAAGGTAGTTTCTCTGCTGTACTCTGCTGTCTCCTGTACGCTCAGGTGAGCCCTTGGTTCACGCTGGCACCGGCATGTGTGCCCTGGCAGGGAGCAGGCGAGCGCGTGAGGCTGCGGCCTTCCTCTCACCCACTCTCTTCACTTCTCCCCAGACGGTCCCGCCTCCCAGGCTCAGCAGCTTCCAGACTCTCAGGTCCTGTGGCCCGACGAAGCTGTCTGCCTCCGAAAGAAGAAGAGGCATTCTCGGCCGGACCCCTTCGCCCGCCTCTCGGACTTGTGCCATCGCCAGCTTCCAGAAGACCAGACGGCGATTCTCAACAGCGTGGATCTTGACGACCCCGGCCATGCCACTCTGCTGTGATGACAACTCTGAGTGCTCCCCGACGGACGGTGCTGGGCCGAGGGCCAGGGCGGGTGTGAGGTGACGGTGCGGGGTGGCTTCCCCACCACTGGGGGCCGGGCCGGCCGCTACTCGGAGGGCCGCTCACACCTCTGTTCCGCCCGGTCACTCGCTAGGCAGAGCGGCTGCGTCTTCCGGACGTGGGACTGACTGGGGCAGACCTTTCGGCTGCGGGTGGAGATCGGGAAGTGAACCGGGGACAGGGAGATGTCTGCCTCCGCCCCGCTCTCCTCTTCACAGATCTTTGGGAGTGAAGAGCAAAGCGGTGGCTTTCACTGCTCTCTGCTTCTGCTTCAGTTCTTTAAGTCCTGGGAGAGGGCTGGACGTCCATCCCACCTCCCAAACTCTGCATATATATAGATATAGGCACACGTGCATAGGTGTGTAGTTTGTGGCTTCTCTATGTGTATATATATGTACATTGAAGCGCAGTGCGGTTTATTTCTGTGGTCAATGGAGGGAGGACCAGGGCAGCAGTCAAGTGGGCCTCACGGTTAGGACTGGCGGGGAGCTGGCTGGGTGTCCTGATGCCCGTCTCAGGGATTGTTCTTCCTGAAACAGGAGTCGTGCTTCTCAGCCGAATTCCCCATCTGACTCTCTACCTTCTCCCATCCAGAGCAGAGATGGGGGCTTGTCATGATTTCCAGCTGCCTGCTTTGGGGGCTCAGCAATGAGTTGCCACAGAACTAAACAAGCCTTTATCTCTTGGCTCCTGGGTGAAGAAAGGGTGGCAGGTAAAGGGCCAGACTGGAGTCTTCCTTCCACAGTTTGGCTCAGACGTAGGAGCTTCTTAGCAGCAGGGCCGAGAAGCAGGCCCTGCTGCACAAGCTCGAGCTCATCCCTCAGTCCCTTTTGGTCCAGCCAGGGCCAGGAGCCTTGGGGCCAAAGGGCCTTCCATTCTGGAGCCGGCCGCTCTGAGCACCATGCTGCTGCTGCTCTATTTATACCCCACCTCTGGCTCGGCACCCTCTAGAGCGCTGTTCCAAAGCTGCTGACTGGGTTCTTCCTTTCCTTTTGTGGGAGCTAATTTCCCAGATTGATTAATTGCCACTTATGGGGAGCCCGCCGGCTGCTCCTTTCCCTGCTCTTCAAGTGCCGCCTGCAGACTCTTCTCTGGCTTGGGCCCTCCTTCACCCTGCAGGCCAGCTCCCATGGAACGGGATCAGACGGAGCCAGGATGCCTCAGGTTTCCGGGGTCTGGGGTTGCTCCGGATGCCCTCTCTCCCCCTGGTTCTATTTAAGAGGAACTGGCTGAGGCATGGGAGTGACGGTGGAGGGGCTCTGAGCCTTTCTCTGCCAAAATCTTGTCTGAGTTCAAACTGTTAGCACCCAGAGCTTCTGTGAGGTCATCTTAAGACAACTAAAGATGCATCTCTCTCTGCCCAAATACAGGGCAGAGGGTGGACGGGTGCATCCAGGCTCTCTTCCCCCCTTCTTGTGTGGGAGCTGCCCTGCTGCCACCGGGGATTAAGGTGGCTGTTGGGTTCCTTGAAGTATTTCCTTCTTGGTGCTGCTGTCCTGGTGGGTTTGGGGACATCTACCTCTCCTCAGTTACCTGCTTAGACGCTGGCCAAGTCAAAGCACTGGAGGCGGCTGTGAGTCTCGTTGCAGTTGCCAGTGGCTCAGCCAGGGACCTAGGCCAGGTGGGGCCTCCTGCTGGGAGCGTCCGTCCTAGGGCTGAGTTCTCTGCCATAGACCCTGGTGCTTCCTCTCTCTCGCCTATGTGCGAGGACCAGTTCCGCCCACGGGTCTGCCACACAGGCCGCACAGCCACAGCTCATTTCTGAATGTGATGCGTGGCACAAGAGGTAGAAAGGAGCAGTTTCTGGCCCTCGTTTTGTCTAGTGCCCCATCTTTCTGGGGCTGAGCCTCTGCACCCTGGGGGCGGAACCTGGACCTTCCGGCTAATGCACTTCTCTGGACATCCAACCCGTCTTAACCCCGGCCAGCGGCTCCAGCCAGATGGATCCAGGGGTGGGTGACTTTCTCTCCCAAGATAGCACTGCCTCTGCCACCGAGCCGATCAGTGACTCACGGATACCTCTCCTAGGGCACGTGGGGCCTCACACTGCATCAGGGGGCCCCCGTCTGCGCTCTCATGACCCGCCTTCTCATGCTGGGCCTGGTCCCAGCTGGAATGTCAGTGTGGGATGCAGGGATGTGGGACTTCAGGATGAATTAGGTCAGACTGTCAACCCCGTATTAGAATTCTAGGCCCTTCCGGTTACAAAAGGAGAATTTGGGGGGGAAGGCTTGGCCTTTTTAGGATGTTGTACAAGACCCCGAGCCAAACTCTTGGCCGAGGTGCCGTAGACTACAGCTGTGCTTTCCCCAGGGGACCCACCTGGGAGCTTTTGCCAGTGCTCACAAAGGTGCTGACTCCTCCCTTTTCCTTCTCTGGCCGCCCGCACCTCAAGCACAGCAGGCTCAAGGGCTGGAGCACTGCTTTGTGCCGGCCACTGGGCGGCACCCGTGCTGGGCCTGCCGAGGGCCAGGGGACGCAAGCCAGCCTCTCTGGGTGGCCTGGACTCATTTCTCCTCCCAAGAGGGCTTCCTTCTTGTGACAGTGTCTCTGAGGTCCAGCCGCCTTCCTGCGCCTGGGAGCTCTCAGTACTTCCGTTAGGACTGTGACGGAAACGGCAGGAGGCAGCCCTCTGTCCACACGGTAGAGGGACGATGTCACGGGCACGCGCTCGAGCGCGGGCCGTGAGGGTATGTCCGTGAACGTGTGCACCGTGTAGCCGTTTCTTGGGACCAAGCATCCTTTGCCCTCTGCCCCTGAGCAGTTGCAATGAGCGCTATTTAGCTTTCTCGGACTTTCACGTTCCACTGTGTGGGAGATCAGCTGTCTCCCAGACTTTGGCTTTTATGGTCTGATAGCCTCAGTAGAAGTAGCTCAGGTGAAGATCCATTCCCGGTCTCAGTCTTCTGCCTGCCCTTTCGTCCCGCATCTTACCTGGAAACCGTGGCTGTTTCAGGCTTAGGTGATTTCGGAGACCACGAAAGGGGTCAGATGCTTCTAGAAGGGGCTCGAGCCTTTAGGGGGACTTGACACCGCAGTTGTTTGGGGAAAGAAAATGAGGAGAAGGGGAGTCTCATGTGTTGACAACACTGGGTGGGTTTCGGGGCAGGAGTGGGGTCCTGCGTGCGGCTTGTCGTTTGTGGCCCCCCCCAGCCTGTGCTGGGCAACGCTCCCACCGTATCTCCCAGCCTGTCTCCCTGGCAGCTTTCCTTGAGCAGGATATGAGAGGCCTTTGAGGTTCTACTTTCTCAACAGGAAGGCTGCTTCATCCCCAGGACTGGCAGGGTCCCTGTCCCCCTTGAAGAGGCCCATGTCCCACGATCATGCTCCTGGGGTGTGGAGGCTCAAGCTAGGGTGGATCGGGGTGAGAAATTATTGGTATTTTTTAAAGCTCTCTGTCTTTATTTTTGATTTGGGATCTATTTGGGGTTGAACTGATTTCCATTGCTTTCCTGTGCCCTTTTCATACAGAGGAAACTGGGTAGGGTTAAGGTGTAGAATTTCCCAACCAGGTTTTTTGTTTTTTGTTCAAGGTTGACAAAACAGTAGCTTCAGGGCTACTTTGCTACCCCCAGGGTTAGAATCCAGGGCTGAGGTGTGGGTGCCTGGAGCTGTTTCTTCCAATTTGTTAGAAAAAGCCTTCTGGGGGCTTGGGGTGGGTTGGGGGAGAATTGTACATAAAGTACTTTTAGTATTATGTAGAGAAACGTAAGAGAAGAAAAGCTCTCGGTTAATCTTGGGCTTGCTTTGCTTGCATGTAAAGGAGCTTCGGGGCCATCGCAGGGGTTGCTGGGAGCAGTAGGAAGGAGTCGGAAGGTGTGGATGAGCGGCCCCCTCGGGGAAGAGTGCACATTCTCCCCAGGCCTTCTTGGCCCAGCTTTGCCTTTCCATCTTGTCCAAAATAAAGGGACGCAGGCCCTGCAGGCTGGAGGCTCGGGGCCCCATGTGGCTGCCCTTGCTGCTTTAGGGAGAGGGTCCAGAAGGGGTGCTAATAATGTCCAGATTGAGAATGAATAAAGTAATTGATGGGGTGGGTCTTTGAGGGAGGGGAGTTAGAGAGCTGGAGCAGAGGGAGGAGGTCAGGTTCTTTGCCAGGGGCCTGTGAGGTTGGAAGGGGAATATAGAGTTTGGTCCGTTGTGGAGTAGAAAGTGGGGGTCCTGGGATAAGACAGTGAGGCCAAACCCAGGAGACATCTAGGCTTCAGCACCCTTCTCTTTGGGGCACATGATGATTTAGCTACCCCTGAGGGTGCAGTGTACCGGTTGGAGGCCATCTTAAGAAAAGGAGGAGTAGAGATTGCCCTGGGGTGGGGCAGGCTGAGGAGGGGTGCAGGGGTGATCATTCGGGGGCAGTTGTGGAAGAGTGATATTGTAATTGCAGAAAGACTGTGGGGCTGGGGCCTTGGCACGTAAGCCCAGACTGGACTTGGATGAGGTCTTGCTGCTTAGCTGGACTTCTTTGCTTCTACTAGAATTAGCCTATAACACTAAGTGCCCAAACCAAACAAGGACATATTTTTGTGATGTTTTTCACCTTTATCTGTTGGTTATTGAGGGCTCCTCAGGCCCCCCAGTAGGATGCTTGTCTTTGAGATGCCTGGGCTGTCACCAACTCTGGCAGCGGAGAAGGGAGAATCACCCTCGTGAGCTCCGTGGGTTTGTTCTCATGAGCAGAACTGGCAGGTGGCCTCTCTTCCTCTCCCAGGACCTAAAGCCGTTCCTGAGAAACTGTTGCTGGTGATGAAGACGAGGGATCAGGGTTTGGCTTTGCACCTGTTACACTTTCTTCCTGAGGTACGGAGACTGCCTTCAGACCGGGAAGCACCACAGAGGCTTTCTACCTAGAGGTTTTTTCTCAGTTTCTCTTCCTTTGGGGGGCTAAGGCCACCAGTCCGGCTGACATAGGAGAGGAAAGAGATTTACCCTGAGATCAGACCAGCCATGCCTCTGTCTTCTTCGATGTCTCCAACTCTGCCTCCTTTCTGATCAAGAGGCAGAATTAAAAATCTCTTCTTTAGAAGAAGTCAGTAAACCAAGAATCTAAGCCCAGATTGGACTTCAGCACTCCTAGCCACTTGTTGTTTGGTTAGGGGTGTCTGTTTGCACCCCTCCCTCTGACTGGTTGTGAGGCCACACTAGTCCAGTGCTTTATTTCTGGGCCTCCCTGTCTCTACTTTCAAATAAGTATTTCAGGGGCAAATGAAACATCCCCACCCGATGTTTTGTTTGCTGGATTGCCGAGAGGGTGGAAGGGTTTTCTCGACCTTATTTTAAGCTGATAGAATAATTCCTAATAGATGAGTCTGATCCAAAGACGCCCTCATACCCAAGGGTTTCCGTGTAATATAAGGAAAACTGAAAAACGAGTGCAATTATTCTTAATAGCTGGCCATGCCTTAGAGAAGGGAGAGTCAGAGTATCTCCATTGCCAGCTACTTTGGTGGAAGAGCAACCAGCAGCTGAAGTCACATGGGTTTCTCTTCTGTGGTGGGTCTGTAGTGGTAGTTAGGGTTTCTGAAGAGAACTGATGGCATCATTGTCAGCTTCGTGGCCCTGGCCAGGGGAGCTAGATTGGGAATTAGAGAGGTATGCATTTTCAGTTCCTGTCCCTGGTCCCTTGGCTCTGCCTTTCCCATCCCACTCGCTGGTGACATGAATGGCTGTCTGGGCCTTGGAGAAATGTGCTCCACCTTTCCCTGGCACTGGGTTTCCTGGACTTTTTTAGGACCTAGGGCAAGCTCTTTCCCCCTACCCCATATACACACCAGTTAGGTTCCCTTTCCTTCCTTACCCCACTTATATATGGCTCCATGGATCTTGAACTTGTGCATGGTTTATGATGGGGAGATGGTTGGGTGGGGAAGGGAATCTGGGAGGGAAGAGAGGTTGGGCTGGGGAGGGGGATGGGCATTTTCAGCCTTAGAAATACCACAAGCATGCTTTCGGGCCATGTGCGGAGTGTTCACATGTAGATGGAAGGGACAAATGCCAACTCTCCTCATATTGATCATGAGGACTTAGGGCCATTTTGCTTCCTTTAGGTTAAGGCATCTGTGAAACCTGTTTCCAGTGGAGGGGATAGACCTTCTCATGGTCACGTTGCAGTCCTTGGGAGGGAAACTGTCAATCACTCTGTCAATGAATATGTATATATTGCCTACTGCAAACAATCAGAGGTCTGTCATGAGCAGACTGTGTCCTGGCTGGGTCAGAGAAAGAGGGTCGTCGTACCTATTCCTCTGCACTTACCAGGTTCTCAACCTGGTCTTTAACCCCCAGCCAGCTGTCTAGTCTGTGTTCCTTTCCTGGGCTCAGGAAGTAAGAGTATGTGTGTGAGAATATGTGTGTGTGTGTGGGGTGGTGGTGGTGGTGGTGGTGTGTTTGTGGTGTGTGTCTTGTGTGTGTGGTGTATGTGTTTGTGTGGTGTGCGGTGTGTGGTGTG